GTGTATCAACCGAGCCACACAGCTTGGTGACATTGGCAGACTTGCTGTGGGCACACTCAATCCCACTGTTCATGTCACCAACAAAGATATTGAACAACACAGGTCCCAACACTGACCCCTGAGGGACACCGCTCATTGCTGGTCTCCAGCTGGACATTTACCGTTTACCGCAACTCTTTGCATGTGGCCATCCAGCCAGTTTTTTATCCACTGAGTGGTCCATCTATCAAATTGGTGTCTCTCCAATTTAGAGACAAGGATGTTGTGTGGGACAGTGTCAAATGCAATTTAGTTCTAACTGGGCCTTAGCTTTCCTAACCTGGTCCCTGGCTTCCCTAACAATGTTCCTGTAATCTTCCCAGGATGCCTGTCCTCGCTTTCACCTTCTATAAGCTTCTTTTTTCCCTTGCTGGTTTCCATGTTTGCTGGCTCATCAGCAAAACCAAAGATGGAAATTGAAATGGGAAATGAGCTTCCTTTCTTTTTGGTGTGAGAGTGACCCAAGGAGAATATGTGTGGCATGGCCATGTTGCAGGAAGCTTGCAGAACATCTGCATTGCATGTGTTTGTGCAGAAGCAGTTCTTCTGCGGTCTGGTGTCATTCACATAGCTATGTGACAGCCTTTAAAAAGAAACAGTTTTGGTGGATTTGTTTTTCTAGTTCTGGGAATTATTAAAGCAATTTAAATACCCTGCATGGCCTGCCAGATCTTTCTCGCTTGTCCCTTGTTCACCCATGCTGGTTTTAAGCAGTGTTTTTGACTGCAAAAGAGGTTGCTGCAGAGAGCTGTGTACCTGGGAAAGATGTGCTCTTTGGGAACCGCCTGCTCTCATGTAATGTCTGGGGGACTGAAATGGCCCTGGTGGGCTGCTGTGGGAAACCTGACCTTAAGCAGATGTTTACAGGCATATCCTGAGCAGTCTGGGTTTGAAGTGAAAAGTGAGAAACCTCTGCCAGGGCCTTTGCCATTGTCATACAATGGTGGCTTTATGGCATACGATGGGGTTGGGGCTGTAATTCACCCATCCCTGAGGCTGAAGGAGCAGCTGTTAAGGTTACAAGATTAGCAAATTGTTTTCCTCCATTTTCCTTTCACATTTTTTTTTTTTCCCTTGAGATCTTTCCACATTTTGGTTTGTGCTGGGAAATTCTTCTTAATTAGTCTAGTTGGGTCACTAATTTGATGTTGAGAAGCAAAGGAAATCCTTCCTTTTGCTGGTGCCAGCTGCCTCTATGGTCTGAAACTGGGACAACATAATTCATCTCCTTCCTGGTAGAGAGAAGAGTGTGATATACTGACTTGTAAGGAAGGGAAAACTGAAGGGAAACCAGAGTAAGCAAACAATAAGAAGAAAAGTGGGGGTTAAGTAACCTAGATGATATAAAGGTGGCTAGTAATAGAGGCTGCAAGTATTTCTGGTCAATGAAGGTCAAAGCTTTCAAGAGACTGAGCTTACCCATTTACAGAAATAACTTGTGGCTGTGGAGTTTGTGCTTTCCAGACAGATGGACATCACAGTAGATGCTTATGTACTGCGAGTAGGGCTCCTATGATCTCTCCTTTTGGAAAATGGAGGTTTAAAGTGTGATTGCTGTAGGGTCTGGTCAAGCTTCTGTGAATTTAACAGAGATACAGAGCACCTTTGCGATTGTGGTGTGGATTTTTACTATGTGGATTTTTACTATGTGTGGAGCCAGCCTAGGTTTTGAAAGGTATAATAAGTCCTAATTATTCAAAGATAACTTACTTCTGTTTGTAAACCAGATGGCTTGACAAAAATGAGGATGATGGTCAGATTGTCCGAGAACTAGTGCCTGCTGGGGAGTCACCAATGCTAAAAAGTGAGTTAGCTTGGAAAAAACCAAGGTCTGAGTTTGACCTGTGTATGCATGTATTTACTTCCTTTATTCTACTTAGTAATCCATGTCAATTCACGGTAAAGCTATTGAGTGTTTTTTGCCATTCTTATGCAAGAAGCTGCAGGGGGTTGCTCAGGAGGAAATGCCTTTGACCCGTAAATCCTAGTTTACGAATGAGATTCATTTGCAAAAAAGAGAACAATTACAACATAAGTGTAGAAAGAAACTTTGATTTTTAATGTTGTAATTTGTTTAAAAACTGCTTTCTTGTACAGCTTTCTCTGAAGGATCTTGAATCGCCACTGCTTTAGTAGAGTAAATTTCATCGAATAACATTGTGTTCCTGAAGAAAATCACCAGGAAGATTAAATAGTCCTTTTTTGAAGAACCAGGGCTCAAACAGTACAATTTTCTTTAGAAAATGGCTCTTACAGAGCTCAGGCTGAGATGCTTTTTGTTCTGTTTTAGGAGAAAGAACTAAAGCTATTGAATTACATTGTAAATTAAAAAAAAAAAAAAAAAAGTGAAATCACCTCACTTGCCAAGCTCATTTTTATGGATTGGTAATCATCTAACAGTGAGAGGGAGGCATATAAAACATTTTCTGCTTATTAGTGTAACTGTTGCATCTCTTATATTTTGCTGAATAACTCCAAGGTGTTATACATACAGCTTACCCAGTATGGCCATGAGACACGGGATACATGAACAGAAGAGAAAATTCCTTTCTGTGTCTTTAGCTGGAGACCTTCTTCCCTGTATCTCTTTGAAGCCAATTGCCTGGTTGAGCACTGGAAATGTCACTTGTGTGTCTGTGTTCTGTACATTGATCTCTCTAGATGTCAGTTATCACATCAGCGTGAAGACAGGAGATGTCCCTGGTGCCAGCTCAGACTCCAAAGTTTTCATCAAACTCTACGGTGAAAAAGCAGACTCCAGCAAAGAGACTCTCTTAGTCTCTGATAATGATCTAGGCAATTATTTTGAACGTGGTCGAGTGGATGAGTTTACTATAGATACGATGGACATTGGGAAGGTAAGAATTAATTGCAGGTGGCTCTGCACCTCGTACAAGTGACTGAATTCACAATCAATATAACACTAAGGACTGAATATGATGTAAGAATCTCTTACTCTGGATATTAAGAAATACATTTTGCACAGACTATTACACTGGCAGTCTGTCGTACATACTGGCATGTGAAGAGTATTGTAAGTTTATAATGAAATACATATATATAAATCTTGTACATGAATATGGTGGAAGAACAGGGTGCCGGGGATAGGGGGTTTTTTATATATTAAGCAAATTCTCTTGTGTTGGGGTTTTTTCCTCCCCTTTTGGTTTTTGTTTGCTTTTTTCAAAGATCAACAGAATACTGATTGGACACGATAACGTGGGTCTTCGGTGTGGCTGGTTCCTGGCCAGTGTCCAGATCACAGTTCCGGTCCAGGGAAGGCAATATATGTTCCCCTGCAACAGATGGCTCGACAAAGATGAGGCTGATGGCAGGGTGGAGGTGGAGGTCTACCCAAGTGAGATTTTGCCTATTGAGAAATGTAAGAGAAGACACATTGAGAAATGTGTGCTGTTTTATAGCTAGCACTAAATTCATATCACTAGCATTCTTAAGGTACAGGACTCTACTGTGTTAGACACCAAAACCAAAAAGTCCCTGTCCCAAAGAGCTTATGTTGGTAAGAACAGTAAAATATTCTTGACATGTTTTATTTTCTAAAACAGCTGGAAAAACATTACTGAGGTGTTAATCTCTATTTCCTGAGATTGTATGACAAATTTATGTCCTGGGTAGCAAAACACAGCACAAGGCACTGTGCTTCATTGTAATATCAGCAGGTTCTGCTTTATTCACATTTACTGCCTCCCTGTCCCAGTGCTTCACCAGCACACATCCAATCCTGCCATTATTACCCATTGCCTGGAAGAGAAGAGTATTTGATAAATAAGGACCAAGTCCCTGCTGCATATTTGAGTTTTATCAGTAGATTCATTTTCTTTTAAGGATATAGTTAAATTTTCTTTGGGATCCTGAGAAAGGATGCCATGGTTTTCCTCTGCTCTGTGTAATTCCCTCCCCTTTATTATACTAAGGAGGTCATTTATCCACACCACAGTTAAAACTTGAATGAAATTCCCTTTTAAGGCTCTGTTTTGCACCACTCCGACACTGGCTTAATACTTGTTAAAGGAACACTGTTAAGCTAGTCCTCAGTGAAGAGCTGTGTTTTCTCACATTTGGTTTAGATAAGAGCAAATGGTCTGCTACATGGTCATTTGTTAAGACAAGGTAATTTAATTTTGAACGTGATCCCTAGGGAGTGTGGTTATCTGAGCTCCTCTGCTGATTTAATGGCTTTATTTTTCAACTAGTGATAAACTACGAGGTGTCTGTAGTTACTGGAGACGTGCGGGCCGCAGGCACCAATGCCAAAGTTTTCATGCAGATTTACGGCGAGACTGGCAAAACTGAACTGATCTTCTTAGAAAACAGATCAAACAACTTTGAGCGGGGAGCCACAGATGTCTTCAAGGTATGATAAAGGCAGTCATTGCCGCTTCTATGAGGGGAAAGAAATGACCAACCAAACCTGAAACATCAACAGAATAATTGACCCAATTATATAAACCACAGACTTTATAGCAAAATTGCCAGGTCTGTTGGTATCTGCTGTCTCTATCCATATTTGGGGGAGGTTTTGTATTTCTTTGGGGAAGTTTTGTGTTCTGGAGTGTAACTTTTGTCTTCTGAGGGACTAGTAGCAAAAGTAGCATGGAAGAATACAGTCCAATAACAGCATTTGTTTGCCTTTACTTTCAAAAGGAAGTACTCGTGTTAGACCTCAAAAGACCTTAACCTTCTGTTTGGGGCTGACCACACATTGTTATCCTTTTATTTGTCTAGCTGGAGAAAAACAAACCCCATACAGAATATAAGATATCCTGGCCTTGCCTGTGGTCACACATGCTGTTAACGACAGGTGCATGTTGCCAGCCTAACCCTGCAGAGGTTTGCTACTGTAATTTCTGAGAACATGTGAGTGCCCTCTGGATTTTACTTCCTCTAGCACCAGTCCAGGGTACACTGTACAGGAACAGCGCTTGGGGTGTGTAGCACGCTCCTCCAGATACCATTTGGGCCGGTAGTTAGGTAATGGAATCATCTTCTTGCCCAGATGAGGTTTCAGAACAAGGACAGGGTGTGCTGTCAGGGCATGTCATAGCCATGTCCTTCTGTATTGAAGCAACCTCAGAAGACACCTACATCTGGACAATAAAGCACGAAGTCCAGATGGAAGCAGGAATTAAGGCACATCTGTCATATGTGCTCATGACGCAAGGCTCAGAATGGTGGTACCTTAGTCTTCTTGTGAATTTGCAGTCCCACAGAGGTGGGATCCAGCTCATCACAGTTAAGCACCTACTTAAAGCTAGTCATGAAAGACTGGGGTATTCTTCCCATTGTCACTGACCAAATGGAGGTGACTTTATCCAGAGCTTTACCACAGTTTTGAAATGCATATTTTTGAGATCAGTTCAACTCTTCTGCCTCAGTTTCTTGCTTTATAGAATGGAGTTAGTGCTGTTTATCCATTTTTAATGAGTTCTTTAGGATGTAAGATGATTAGCGCCTTATAAATGCTTGCTTTTTTAAGACTGTCTTAATTTCAAGATTAAGACTGTGCCTAATTTTAAGATTAGGCTTCTCTGATTTTAAAAGAAATAAGCTTTCCAAAATTTATGAGTAAGAGATATTAACCAATATCAGATTTATAGTAAGGCCATATACACAGTGTTCTGTTTACATAGCTATGCTTATATCTTCAGATGTTTATTGCTATACTTCAAAGTTCTGCACATTTTCCATGTGGGTTTGGTTATTTTTTTAATAAGCACACAAGGCAGAAGCTCTGAGGCACTAATATAAAGATCCTCTATCTCTTTCATGATATGAATATTTACAGAAAGATATGAGTAAGAATAAGATTCTGTGAGCTACATGCTAATAGGAAATGACATCAGTTACGGACAGGGCATGCAGAATGATTATAGCAAATCCAAGGGTAAAGCAATGTAAGAAAAGACACATTCTTTATGCGAGGACAGCTGGATCAATTTTAGTTTTCTGATAAGCATCTTGTGTGCAATTGATTTTGGTTTAATCTACTATAGAAAAAATGCTTCTAGACTGAAACCTTATATGAGAAGTTGCCAGAATTCAGCCTGAAGCAAATGTTTGCAAGTTTTATAACATAAACACTGCCTAGCAGCATAAGTAATCACCAGAAACAAGCCATTGGTTGTTGAAGGATTGCATGGAATAAAACTTTCTACCCAACTTCATTAGGTAGTAATCTGGACAAATAATCTAAACCAACAAGCTTTTATATCTGCTGTTTTGACTGGATAGATGGAAATCTTCTTACTGATACAGCCGTCTGCCACTGATGCATTGTAATCACTAATGATTGTATCCTCTCTGCACAGTAGTGAAGTGAGAAAGTATTTTTCTAATTTTCCAGATAAGAAGGATGAGAAGGATGGTCCATGTCAGAGATCAGGTTATATGAGTCCAAGTTTACTGCCTGTTTGCTTTACCATCATTGCTTCTTGCTCGGTTCTTGTCTTGTGCTAAGTATTAAATGTAGCTTATTATTAATTTAAAAACTACCTCAGGCACTGAGAATCTGCAAAAAACCTAGTATGATATTCTAGCATATTCACCTTTAATGCCAACATAGAGACAATACTGGTGAGGAGAGCAATGACAAAGTAGGGAGCCCAGAAAATATGGATTCAGCTCCTATCCTAGCCATGTTCGCTCTGAATATCTTCAGCTCAGCCTGTTTGGATGAGATTTGGTGATAGAAAGTATGAAAGAATAAAACAGGAAGGAAAAAGTAAAGGCAAGCTTGCATAAAAAGTTGATCCTATCCTTGCTTAGATGTTTCAGGTGGTAGAGGTGATGTTCCTCATTTTTAAGAATGCACTTTCTAAAGTTAAGATGTCTTATGTCCTCCTGGGTGGTGACTTTTCCTTGGTGACAGAGAGAGGCTGCAGATGTTGGCAAGATATATAAGATTCGGATAGGCCATGATGGGAAAGGCATTGGGGATGGCTGGTTCCTGGAGAGCATCACGCTGAAGCGGCTTGCCACAAAGACAAAGGACTCTGATAAAAAGAAGAAGAAGAAAAAGAAGAAGTCGGAGGAGGAGGAAGAAGAGGAGAACAAGGGAGAAGTAATGGATGTCTATACGTTTGTGGCACACCGCTGGTTGGCCAAAGACGAAGGAGATAAGGAGCTTGTGGTGGAGCTGGTGCCTGATGGAGAATCTGCCCTGGAGGGTAAATATCAGAGGGAATGTGCGTGTGTGTGTGTGGATACAGCAGTTGCATGAAGGATGATAACCACACTGTGGTGCTTTGCAGGACCATTTATTGCCTCAGGCCTGCAGTGTAGCTTACACTGTGGTTTGTTTGATCAGCTATTGGGAGGAAAAGGATAGTGGTCAAACTAGGGGAAAGGGGAAGGAGACAGCCCAAAATGGGAGTATCCTAAAGGACTTCTGTAGAATTCTTCAGGGCTTCTCTGGGGTCTTGAATCCCACAAGTTACCACTGTGGATGGGAGTTTAGCAAACTCTAAGTATTTACATGTTTAGTGACAAGGGCTGAAGAAAGATAGAGCTGCTCATGTTTGAAGATAGATGCAAACAAGTGCCAGACAAAATCTTTATTAAAGCTGACTGTGCTGGCATTCTGGGGCTCCACCAGAGCCATGGATCTGATGAAATATGGCTATTTCTGGTCTTCTCCTCATCTGCTCTTGCAATTTTACTTGCAGAGAATACGTATGAAGTCCATGTTCTCACTGGGATTGTGTGGGGGGCTGGGACGGACGCTAATGTCTTCTTGAGCATCTATGGCATAGGAAGAGGAGACACGGGTGAGCGCCAACTGAAAAGGTCGAATAATCTCAACAAGTTTGAGAAGGGACAGGTAATGCATGAACTCACTCAAGCTAGCAGGAGGCTGGCAGAGCTTTCAGTTATCATGTCTGCCATTCATTCTCTGCAAGGCTGGGCTTCTTCTTTCAGCTTGCAGCTCAAAATGTAGCTTAGATATAGATAATATATCTTAGACATATTATTTAAAGCAAAATGCTTCTAAACATTTTTCAGGGGAAATCCATTTGAATAATAAGCTGAACACCAATTCTACACTGAAGCTACCTTTTTCGTCTGTTTCTGTGAGCATTCTGGTAATAATGTTTGAAAACCACAAACTTTAAATTAATACTGGAGAATATTTGTGGGGGAGCTCAAGTACGTCAAAATTTAGATTACAAATACGATTCTAAATGTTCTACTCAACCACTCAGGGAATAAAACCAGTATTACACTATGTGCTATAATTACATTATAATCTAATCCAATTAAACAATATCTCTTGTAGATTGAATATTTGCCATAAAAATGTTCATGAACAATTAACAAGCTAGTATTATAGCCAGGAATTGCTCAAGGAATAATTTTGAATAACAAAAAATTACAGAAACAATAAGCAGCTGTGGAAAACTTGCAACCACAAAAAAGAGCCTAAGGTTGTTAAATAAGCTTTTAGCTGTGATTTATGAACTTGGCATTGGATGAAACTGCAACCTGTACCTGGTTCTTCATTCAGTGGGAATAGCTCCAAGCTATAAATATAGCATTCTCTGCTCTTGGAAATAGAAACCCAAAGTCCACCAACAAGTTAATCACATTAAGGTGCTTAATGTGTTATGATAACAAAGGCCGTCCTGTCACACTAATACAGGCAATAAATGAACCTCTTGGTTGTAGTAAAAACAGGAAGAAATTCTGAAGTTTGAAATAAAGCACATGGAGGTACACAGAACAGTTTCCATGTAGTTGATACCTTTGTGTCCAGTTCCAGATTCAATCTGAGGGAAAATACTGAGCCTCAAAGGGATGAGATTTAGAACAGATGAGTTAAACTTAGAGGAAGTTGAAACTGAGGTAAAGAAAGGAGTGAAGGGTTGTGCAGCTCCATTTAACTGCCTTGTAGAAGCCAAGAATGAGTGCTAATGGGAGAGCTCCTCTGCAGTTATCTTAGTACCTCCATGCAAAGTGGGTGTACAAATACCTTTTGTTTTAATGGGAAAAAGATAACTGTTGCCTTCCTTTCCCCCTTTCTGGGAAATCTGTCATTTGCCTCTTGCCTCCTGTGCAGGTGGATGTGTTCACCATCAAAGCCATTGACCTGGGTGAGCTGAAGAAGCTGCGTATCCGCCACGATAACTCAGGAACCAGACCAAGCTGGTTCCTGGAGAGGGTAGAGATTGTTGACCTCAAGGAGAGCATCACGTGAGCAGCCTGTTGCACCCTTTTTGTGTGGTCAGAAAAGGGGGCATGTTCTCAGGATCCCACAGAACCATGGGATGGTGGAGGAGATACAGAAGGGAATCACTGTAGTTCCTCATCACCTCGCAGGGAGCTGGCACCCTTTGGGAGCCTTGTGATGATTGTGCTGCAGTAACTCTGTGTGGGGTTTTGCTGCCTTAGCATCTCTGCAGTTTGGGAACCAGCAGTATTTTGAAGGAAACCTCAGCTTTTGGTTGTTTCTCCTGTGAGGGACTTTCCCTCCTTGCAGAGCCTGCACTCATGTTTCCTTTCAAAGCTCCACTCTGGAAGTTCCTGATCTCACATTTTGTTTGTCTTTTGTATTTAATGTAAAGATCTGAGCCAAAAGCAAGCCCCAATCTAAGCAAACTTCCATGATTTTCACAGACAGCTGGATGAGCAAAGCCTAGGCTGTTAGAAACCTGAAATACAGGCTTGCCCTTGATCTGGAATATGCTTGAAGTCACATGTTTAATAGCTGTGCAGTGCTCTGATGGGTGGGACTGCTTGTAAGGACCTCAAAATAGGTCCATTCTTCCTAAGTGTAAAATGCCTGGGAGACTGGAGGTTCCCCTGAGTTATTTAACTTTTTCTGGCAGTAAAAACCAAAAGAAATCATTCATATGAGGTTGACAGCTCAGAAACAGCACTTTTCAGTAAGTGCTCACTAACCTATTTTTGGATTTAGCTCCCACAAATGATACAGAGCTCAAAGAAAACAGATGTGTTGTTCAGCTTCAAGTATTTTTGATTTTTGTTTCAAAGTAGCCTCTGATCTGTGCTTGTGTGTGTTATTAAAGCCTGTGAAGTCCTGTGTAAGTGCTGGGTGCTGCTGTCATTCTTGTAGGTATTATTTTCCATGCCAGCGGTGGTTAGCAGTTGAGGAAGATGACGGTCAGATTGTCAGGGAGCTGGTCCCAGTGGATGAAGCATTTGTAAAGAAAGATTCGGAAAATGAAGGCCAGTCTCTTGCAACGCTGGGCCTGGAACAGAAAGGTTTATGTTAGCCTTGTATTTCTTCCACTGTGGGGTTGAAAAGGAACCAAGTTATTAGCACTGCTAAGGGCATTAGCAGTTAGCATGCACTGGGATGTGTGTAATTCTGCCCTGACCATGAAATTTTCAGGTGTTAATGAAGTGTGAAGTGCATGTTAGCCAGTGAGGATGGATCTAATAATCCTGCAAGATTGGACCCAAAGTGGGAAAGCTGGGAAGATGCATAACACATTCAGTCATCATCTCTCAAGTGAAATGCACACTTATTGCTAAGATCTAAGGCATGAATCCCAGACATTTCACATCGTGGACTGGAATGGTTGAACATTTCAACGTAAACCAAACAGAGAGCAAACATGACCAGAGAAAGGGAAGGGACCTAAAAATGTCTTACTTCCAATCCTGCTGCTTGTGTCCATTGTCTTCCAAAATAACTTTATCTCTCTTGTATGTAATCTTGCACAGTAACCACAGAGCAATGGCACACTCCTGAGTCTGATGCTGAAAGGTGCTGAGTGCTCAGCACTTCTGTTGGCTTCACTGCCAGTGAAAAGTTCTAAACTCCCCCCTCATATGCTTTCAAATACACAAATAATTTCCACAAATTGCATAGCCAACAGAGTTCCACAAATTGGGTATCCATTTGGTTCAGGAGGACCTTCTGCCTGAGCAGCATCTTGGAAACATGTGTCTAACTGTGGAAGAAAGGTGACCATTTGGAAATCTTTGAGTAGGTTTTTGCAGTGCAGTGATGACTATATTAGACTTTTCCACTATTTTCATGAGTTTAAAGTGCCTGCTAGATGATGGTGAGGTAGAAACCTCCTTAAGGATGCTACTTGGAAGGGTGTGTTCATGAATATGAACTGCATATGTCAACATGCACATACTTCGTGGTATATTACATGCACATATATTATTTGATGTTATTAGAATAAAGGGGGTAATATGTTGGGTTTTTTAAATGAAGTAACATCATAGGCAGAGGTGGATTTGAAGAGCCTTGCAGATTCCCAGAAAGCAAATGGGAAGGCTTGAGCACATTTCTTATCTGTAGATATGCAGACAATGTACTGAATGGCTGGAGCAATATATTGAGTCTGCAACCAAATAGCCCAGCTCACCCCAGGAGCTACCACAGCATACAATGAGAATTAGAGATTACAATCAAAATAAAACTCAAACCAAACACACATATGCAATGAAAAGTAGAGTTAATTTCTTCTCAGACTTCACAATCTTAAATTAAGATATTTTATCTGACAGCTAAATCAACAACATACACTGTGAAAGTGAAAACCGGGGACAAGAAGAATGCTGGGACAGATGCCAATGTCTTCATCACACTCTATGGAAGTAAAGATGATACAGGTATGGCTTCACATACTGGAAAATGATAGCACCTCACTGCTGGACACGTGGAAAGACAGGTCAGGGTTTCCTTTTGTTTCCTCAGTACCCATTCTTCACTCCTTTTTAGTACAACTCCTTCTTCTCGCTGTCCCCACATACACCGTGATAAGTGGGAGCATACCACCAGCTGCTGTAAATCACTGCTGAACTTTGCGATGCTGATTTGCACCAGCTGCTGATGTAAAGGCTTTAATTTCAATTATAGAAACAGCACAGTTGACTGGGACTACATTACTGAGTTCTGAATGCGGTGAATGATTTGCTTTACTCAGCAATGAATCAGCATGCTCCTGCAATCCAGCTCTCCTCTGCCTTCTTGAGTGGCCCAAATGTATTTAATCAGCTGATGAACAAATCCTCTTGGAAGCAGCCGAGCTGTGTGTGCAGCAACTCAGATGCCTGTGAGAGTGATAAGGAACTCATGGGCAGGACTGATTTCTTTAGCTGTGAACATAGCACAACAGCATCATCCCTGTGGCATTGCCAGCGGATCACTGAAGAAAGGAATGCTGTATATCTTGCGTGTTGATGCAGATTTGGGTTTGGGGGAAGGGACAAAGCTCAGATCTTGTAATGAAAAGGCATTTTTTTCACATTTTAGCCACTTCCCTCATGCCACTGTTGACATTCCCAGAGGATTTATTTCACATGCTGAACAATGTCCTTTTGCCTCACCGCAACAGGGATAGTCAGCCTAAAGGCCTCAAAGATTAACAAGAACAAATTTGAGCGGGGGAAGGTAGATGAGTTCACAGTGGAGTCTGTGGACATTGGAGACCTGAAAAAAATCAAGATAGGCCATGACAATAAAGGTAAGATAATCTGTTTTGTAATGTAGTATTTCTAATGCATTAGGCATGTTGCTGTATAAAATAACCTGCCTCCAAGACCCCAAACCTAATTTAGCTTTTGATGACAGATCCTTGGTGTCTCTTTGGCTGTTGCTGCTACTGTAGCACGGTGGTGGCAACTTGCTGGTAGCTTTGCAACCACTCTCTCTGCAAAAGGCTCTAGTTTTGCAGCCACATCTTTAGAGAGATTTCTCATATGTCACCAGACCATGCTTTTTCTTGTCACACCTATAGGCCTGTCTCATTTCTTTATGAATATTTTTGTTGTTTTGATCATCAAGTCTGGGCAGCTGCTTTTTAGACGTGACTGTGTCTTTACTACAAACAAGGGAAGCAGTGGAAGGATGCACGGATTCCTTCCCTATGAGGCATCAAGGGACATATATATTGGTAATTCCTTGTCTGATTGCAAAAGCAAATTAATCCAAGTGATGCAGTTATTTGAACTTCCACATGCACGTCTTTAACCTGACACATATAGAAACGTGAAGCACATTAGCTCAAACCTGGACTGTTGCTTGCAGTGATCTTTATGGTATCCATTCTATTTTTCCATTGGCAAAAGAGAGGTAGATTTCTTTCTCAAAGCCCTGGAATTAAATGATTATTTTGCTGTTGTCTCTAAAGGCTTTGTGGGTTATTCACTGTTATCTCTCCAACCACAGGTAATTCAACTGGCTGGTTTCTGGAATGGGTGGAAATTGATGCCCCATCACTGGGGCAGTGCCTCAAGTTCCCTTGTGGCCGTTGGCTGGATAAATCGGAGGATGATGGAGCTGTTGAGAGAATTATCTTCCCTGCAGAACTGCAGACAACAGAGTATATCCCATGTGAGCAGAATGCCATTTCCCCGGGATACACCCATCATTACAGAAGATACAACCTCACTAGCTCATGAAGTTTTATTGCCTTGGTCTCTCCCTTGAATCGGCTTTGAAAAATCCGTAAATGCATCATACGCCAACTATTCTGGTTACTACAAAAAGGTTCCTCTGGGTGCTCTAGACCAACATTTCCTGTATTTTCCAAATTAGAAAGTCATGAGAAGCCATGTGGTTGTGTATGATTGTCTTCTTGCTCCCTCTTGCCCAGTCACCCCCAAGTCCTCAGCCCATTCCAAGCTGTTTTGTCTCCAGTTTCCCTTTGATCTTGCTCCATTCTAGTATTGCTGTTTCTGTTGACAAAGCAGACACTTTGGTCCTGCTTCCAAGCCTTGCTTCCCACAGTGCCTTTCACATTGCACACCTTTCTCTTGTTGAAAGACCCTCTTCCACAGTTCCTTGAGTGTTGCGCTTTTCTTGTTGTATTGCACCAGTCTGCCTCTTTTAGTGTTTTCCAGTTTTTCCTTACTCTTCACTTCCCTCTAAACTAATGTTTAGGGTAAACTCAGCTCCTTCTGAGTACTAAGCTTCTAATTTTAAAGTCTGCTATGACACTTCAAATTCTTCTATTCAGGCAAATTCTTTTCCTGTCTCCAGAATATTGAGAATCAGGTAATATAGCTTTCTTGAATTAATGACTGAAATAATTATTTTTCATACTTTGTTGCCTTTTTCATATGTGCACCCTTGTCTGTGTGCAGGGAACTCACAGCACTGTGACTGTATTTGATTTGTCCCTCCTTGATCTGTTTCATTTCAAGTTGTTAACAAATATTTCCTGGCCCATCTTCAGGGGACTATCAAAACTGCCTTTTCCCTTTATTACGTTGGATGCCACGATGATGCGGGATGAGGTCTGGAACCATAGAATCACAGAATCATAGAACAGTTTGGGTTTGAAGAGACCTGAGAGATCATCTAGTTCCAACCCCCTTGTCATGGGCAGGGACACCTTCCACTAGACCGGGTCAAAGCCCCATCCAGCCTGATCTTGAACACTTCCAGGGATGGGGCAGCCACAATTTCTCTGGGCAACTTGTTCCAGTTCTTGTTTCAACCAGAGCTGATTTCCAACTCCATGCCCTGTGAGGTGCTCTCTAGGTCACTCTGAAGAAGTGATAAGTTGTTCACACCAAAGATGTCTCTTACCTCACTGCATCCCTCATTGTATGCATTGACAGAATCAAAAGCCTTACCTTCTTCAGTTCCTTACTTATACAGCAAACATTAGAAATGCCCAAGCTCTCTTCTTCCTCAGTTTCCTTCATCATAAGCAGTTGTGAGAATAACCACACGTAAGATTATGAGCCGCTTTAGTTCCTTTTTTACTGACAGCACTGTGGTTCATGTTAAAGGTTTCCTTGACACTGGCTGGCCAACCCTCCAATGTCTGGATCTTCATATCCTGCAGTCTGTATGCTAAAATCATAGAATCATAGCATGGCATGTGCTGGAAAGGACCTTAAGATCATCTAGTTCCAACCCCCTGCCATGGCCAGGGACAACTCACACTAGACCTTGTTGCCCAAGACTCTGTCTAACCTGGCCTTGATCAGTGCCAGGGATGGAGCATTTACCATTTCTTCGGGCAACCTATTCCAGTGCCTCACCACTCTCATAGTAAGGAACCTCTTCTTATACTTAACCTGAACTTCCCCTGTTTAAGTTTGAACCCATCACCCCTTGTCCTGTCACTACAGTCACTACAAATTTCTTCTCTGAGGATCTGCCAAAGTCTTCTCTTTTTGACTCCCCTATGCTTTGGCCAAGCTAATTTTTTTCTCATGTCTTGCCTTCTTTACCTAAACTGTCTGAAGCAGAAGAACAGATACTCTTGCTACCTTCCTTACTTTTGTCAGTCAACTGGAAGACATAATGTCTTTGTGTCTGAAAAAATAAATTAGTAGATAGATACATTAAGTTCAAGGGAGTGAGTATAACCCAGAGACATTTTAAGTGTTTCTCATCAGGTTTTCCCATGTTATCCCAGTCAATATGTATTTGCAGATGTTGACTATATCATTTATTACTGTCCCTGTATATTACAATGATGTAAGGGTTTCTGGCATACATGCCTTTAAGTACACAGTTTGTGTAAACCTGATTTTTGTCAGCAGTCCACATTCAGTCTTTGAAAATAGGCTTCCCTGGTGAAAAGCTTGCACCAGACTTAGCATCAGATTTGGCTCTTTCACCATTTAAACCATTCCCACTGTGCTATTTACTGCCTTCTGGTTTCCTAACTATTAACCCTGGGCTTTCAGCTTGCCAGAGGTAACTAAGCCTGTTTGATGTGTTTTATCATGACTTGTGCCAGAATTGTTTCACGCTGAACAAACGATGAAAACATCTCATCGTCAGCCCAATTAAAATCATCCCTGTGGGGATACAACTTTAAAAGTGCCATGTAAATGAAACGGGCGTCTGACAGCTGAAATTTGTGCTGCTGGTGACCTTGTTACAGTGCCACTTTGCTGATTCAGTTCTAAGCCAAGGTTAATATTCAAGCAACAAGAGTAAGCGCCATGAACTTCAGCAGAGATCATTTTTAATTCGTAATGCGTAGAATGTGATTTTTGATCTCCAGGATTATTTTTTTTTCCATCCTCTTACATACTGGAGAAACAATTCCCGTTTACTTGCAGCACTGCACAGTGGATTTCGTTGGGTTGCACAGAAAAGAATATCAAGTATCTCCAGGCTGACTCTCTGTAGAAGAAAACTTTATGTCTGTTCTCTCGAGTGCTGTATTTAGATAGCCTGGGTTTTTAATGAATGATTAGTCTCTGATACACATAATCAGAGTTACTCCAACAGTAACAGTTATGGTGCCAGGAAACCTTCTCTCTACCCTAACAGAGATGCTGCGGTGTGAATAGCAAAGGTGACTGAAGTCACTGCAGTGTAGGAGGATGAAGAAGACAAGCAGCTGAGAAGATAGTAGTGAGGGTGGGAAATGGTGGAAGCTGGGTGGGTGGTGTATGGAAGAGGGATGGCCAGGCTTTGATCCTGGTGATAACACTGGCTGTGCTTAAGGATAGTGAGGCTGACTGCAGGGATTGTGTCTGCTTGTGGCAGGAGAAATCCCTGTGATGAATCAGTGGTGCCCAAGCACCATCTTTCATCAATAGATTACAGAAAGGATTGAAAAGAGATTGGGACACAATTCAGTTTTCCAAATGGCACACCTGAATTTACATGTCCTTATGACAAGGGAGTGTCTGAATTCCTCTTATCATCAATAAATGGTCATTCACAGAAGGTGGAGTTGGAGAGTGATTCAGCTAACCCTGAGGAAGATGCCTGAATTGGCTTGTCTGATTCTTTCTTCGAACTGCATTGGCTTTAGTGATTACATCTGGAGATGTACACACCTATCTGATGTGCAGACATCTGAACGCAGGTTTCTTACTCTGTGAGATAAACACCATCTTACTTTGGAAACAGGATATTCAGCAAATCTATAGCAAAGCCAGAACAGAGACCTAGTCTTATTCTATGGTCAGTCTTATTCCTGAGCAAGTCTGAATCATGTTCCAGCACAACTCAGGACTGAGAAGCTATGAAGATAGGAAAGAGCAAAAGGACGCATCAGATTTTGGGCATTCTGAAGAAACCGAGGAAATAGAATAAGGAAGTATTTAGTGGCTTGACCCTCACCTGCTCTGCATTCACAGGTGACCTGGTAGTTTGCCTTGGTGTAACAAAGAAGGTAGGATAAAGAGAAAACTAGATCAGAGTGGACAGCAGCAGGTTTTACTTCTTTTCATTATGGTTGACTTTTGTCACTTGTTTAGTAATGAAAATAATAGATATTTTTACCAGTAAAGCTATCTCAGATATTTATATACTGCTCCACTTGGCTTAATTTCATCCATCTGCCTAGTTGCTCTAAAAATTCTGAGTTCATGTTTTGCTTTAAGACTTGAGCTGTTGAAATAAGTCCCATTTCAATAACTTTAGATGGCAAGTATAAACATAATGAGTGCTTTCTGATCATATGATTAACCCCAAAATATCAGTAAATGAACACGCATCAAGGTCAATTGGCCTTATAGGGTTAAAGGAAGTTCCTCTGGATTCTGAAGTGTTCAAACCCAGGTTGGACGGGTCTTGGAGCAACCTGCTCTAGTGGAAGGTGTCCCTGCCCGTGGCAGGGAGTTGGAACTGGATGAGCTTTAAGATCACTTCCAACTCCAACCATTCTATAGTTCTATGATTCTCATGGTACTGACCAGCTTGATAACTAAATGACCATAAGTGTGTGATTCCTACCCTGTCCTCTTAAACTGTGGAGTTTTCTAATCCAGATTTGTTTCACTGAATTTTTTTAGGGTTATTTGAATCCTGCTTATTAACTTCTGTTGGTTTGTTTTAATTCTCTGCCATTTCCTAAATCAGTTGTTCCTTACGAGATCACGGTATACACCAGTGATATCTTCGGAGCCGGCACAGATGCAGATGTCTTCATTGTTCTCTATGGAAGTGATGGGATCTGCACTCAGCAGAAATCCCTGTGCCTCAACAAGAGAGAGCAAAGAATGTATTTTGAAAGGAACTCGGTCAATCAGTTCATTGTTGAGGTAAGATTGAAGATTGCTCTCATCTTAGGTTGCTCTAAAGGGATTAAGAAGATAAAATGGAGTGAAGTGGGAACTTCCCTTTTAGTGAAAAGCTCTTCAGCTCTTTTCTTGAAGAACGTGGGTTCATAACTGTGTTCTGCAACTGGATCAAATCCTTTCTTACAGACCTGCAGTTAGTAGCAACTTGAAGGTATCAACATGCAGAGTTGTCATGGATGATGCCATATTAAGCCTTGTAAAGGCTGTTGCGGTTTTATCATGGAGCTGAAATGTGCCAACGCATGGATACAGAGGCTTTTCCTACAGAGCCTTGTCCTTCCACATAAAGTTGCAAGCCACTTTGGAAGGCCTTTACATCTTCTGTTTCCTAGACCATAATTAGTAAAGAAAGGGTATCAGTCTCCATGCATGCCAGATCTAATATGTGTTCCTCTCCTTAACACTCTTATTTGTTTGCATGTTTGCTTTCTCTTGCAGTCTGCAATACTTTGAAAGGTAACAGGAACTAAATGCTTGCAGTATCACTGATATTAGCTGTCTTGTGTTTCAGGTCCTTTTACATCATTTCATGTTCTTGTTTCAGCATATCATGTTGAAAGGTCCATGGTGCTCACTACTTCCATAGCACATCATTTGGGGTAGATAGTCTGTTCATTTGTACTAACTCTATGGCAAGCTAAACATCTCTTTTTCTCTGTATCCTCGGACACAGAGACCATTACTTTGCTGCAGTCAACAGGATTTTTGAATACCTAGGGCTAATATTTTGAAAGATCTTATCAAGCATTTTCTCAAGAGTCCACAAAACTAACAAAGAATCATAGAATTACTGAGGTTGGAAAAAAACCTTTGAGATCATTGAATCCAGTCACTAACCTAATACAGCCAAGGTCACCACTAACCGTGTCCCTAAGTCCCACATCCACACGTTTTTTAAACATCTCCAGGGATGGTGACTCCACCAGTTCCCTGGGCAGCCTGTTCCAATTTATCTTAAGCAGAAGTTCCCACTGTAGCACTTAAGGGAGAAAAACACATAAACTTTTATAGACATTACAAAGTATAAGGAACTAGGCATCAGGGAAAAGGAAAAGATTTTATTTCAGAAATGTTTAATTCCATTTTAATTCTTAGGGGTTTTAAGTAAATTTGGGGAGAAGGTTAAATCTCAAAGATCTTTTTCTTGCATATTCTCAGAGAACTGTATGCAGATAGTAAGCCAGTGCACATCAACGAGTGAGCTCATTTACATGTAGAATATTCAGCTATTCCCATTCATAATATACTCATTACTGAGAATTTTTAAGAGGCAAAACTATAGACAGTCCTGCTTTGGCCTATCCTTCTTGTACTGCTTCATACCCTTACCCTCCCTCCCTGGCTGCAACACCAACACTGACTTCTTAGAGGACCTTATAACCTCTGTGTTTTGAGTTTGGTTTGTTTTTGTAATTGAAGGCAAATCTTAAACTAAACTTTTTAAACGAGTTAAAATGCTTCCAGCCCACATTGTTGTTATATGGCATGAATCATAAAATAAATCCCCAGTGCGATTCCTTAAAAACAAAGAAAAAGACTTATTTTGGTGGAGTTTCCACACAGTTTTTCATAATAGAGATTGCATTAACCCTTAGGTATAAATCTTAAACTGAGTGTTATTGTTATTCCTTTATTCCCTAAGATTCATTTTAGGTTGGGTAGAACCTGAAACATCAGTACTTTTCTTAGATGAAACTAGTGGAAATGCAGTTTGTTCTCCAGATTTATAACATCATATTACCCTGTCCCCAAGCTTCATTCTGTCTTCGACAGTTCCTCTTGCTGCAGGAGACGGGGATGAAGTAAAATATATTCTTCTTTCACCTACTTGTGTAGAGCAATAATTTGGAGTTCAACAGAGCTTAAAAACAATTCGGGCATCTCAGAAAACACAGATTGAGAATGGCCCATTTATTTTAGTGTTTTTAACTGCCTCTACCATTTTGTATGCCGCAAAAGAGGCAAAAAAGATTAGCGACTGGTCTCAGCTATGCTCCAAAGTGATGATTTGCTGGAGATGCCTACAGCAGAGTAAAGACTACTTCTTCTTTAACATGGATATTTACTGGTCAATCATCACGTTATTGCTATGTCTTGATTAAAAGCCTCATTGAACAATTAGTATTTGGACAGGTCAAAAGCGGAGAAAATGATTTTTCCTTAGTACATACTTGAGTGCATGTGTGAGTTTTAGAAATTAGTTTGGATCAGTTAATTATTTTGCAATGAATCTTATGCTGTCTAAAGTTAGGACAGGGCTGATGAAGTCAAACCCAGTTTGTAAGGAGTGTGAAACTCCTTGACTAGTGCGGTCAGTCTTACTACGTTGATTACTGATTCCTTTGCTTCAGCATGGGGTAATTTTGTCAGCTGGGAAGCAAAGAAGGGAGTAATCTCCAGTGGTTCGAATTGAGATGTTCAGTTTTCTTATGTTTCCAAGAAAACAAGATTCCAAGTCCTTATGGATAGAAAGACAGCTCAGTGTGCTTCTCCTGTGAGCAAAACAGGTTTGCATCCAGCCTTGTTTTATTTAAAGGCCAGATATACAAAAGATTGCAGTGAAATGATCAAAAGCTATTACTTAAGAGCAAATACAATTTTTCCTGTTCAAACCTTTGTAAGGGAGGTGACTTAAAAGTAATGAACTAGATACAAATTACTCAAGTAATAAGGTGAGGCATTAAGAAAACTATCCACTTCATATGATAGTGCCCCTCTTGACTTGCTTAGAATGACATTGGGATTATGTGGCAGAATGGGAGAGATATGATATAAATATCGTACGTTGATCTCAAAGCTATTTTTCCAGTGTTTTGAGAGTGCATAGATGTATTTAAAAAGAAAAAGGATATAAAATAATAACTTAAAATGCATCAGTATTGTAATTTCTAAGCAATTACCTTCATTCCCACTCATCCAGAGAAGCCTGAGCTGCAGGATTGCTGCTGTGCAGCCAAACCTGTATCAATACTGTTGGTAATTTATGTAAGGTAAGATCATCTCAATATTTGGAACAGAAGTTCAGGGAAACGCTGTAGGTAAAATTCAAGTTAGGGCATAACTGACACCAACTCTAGTATTTGCTCCCCTGGAACTTCATACAGGCTGGAAAAATAGGAAACAAGCTAAAGAAGTAGTATCTCAAATATATACTGTTCTTCAACCTATCTCTTTCTCTCTTTTTTTTTTTTTTTTTTTTTCATTTTTCTGTGGATGAAAAAAGCTGGAGGATGTTGGTGACATTATTGAAAAGATCCGCATAGGACACAAAGGCGGAGGAGTGAACTCCGGATGGCATTTGGACCGTGTTGCTATTCGGAGATTGTTGTCAAATGGAAAGGTAGGCTGCAAATCCCAGCACTCTACGGTACGTTTTCATTAGCAGCTGCTTCCATTTCCCAAAGCGCATCTTCTGTACACAAAGCATGATTAACAGTGAAAAATGACTCCCTAAAGAACAATGCACACTAATGAACTTGCTAGAGCTGGGTATCGGGGGACAACAAACATGTATTACTATGTTTTATTCTTCAAATGTTGATTGTAAGATTCTGCAGTCATTACTTTTCGAAAATGCTGTTTTCATTCTACCTTTTGACTAGAGTAGACTTATTCTATCCTGGCAATGGATGGGAGCAAAGCAGTTATGTGGCTTCTCAATATTTTTGAAGTCTTCACAACTCTTTATCTGGTGTGTGAAGGAGTAATCTGCTTGCTGGGTTTAGAGGCAGTGGTATCATGACTTGCTTGCTGGACTGAGAGGGAAGATTCCTGAGTTTGTACCCATTGCTGTGCAAATGCAGTTGAAGAAGTAGGGGGCTGACCAAACATCCCTGTGCTGCACTGCACCACTTTGCTGGACATCTCTGAGTCCTCAAGGCTACCTTAGATAATGGTTTTGGATGATGATCTCTTTGGAAGAGATAAAAGCTTCATATTTTCATGTGTAGTTTTCTTATGAACAATCACAGGCAAGGAAATGAGTGTACTATTTTAAAATTAAAAATCTACTATTGCTAAACACAGACACAAAATAAATTCATCAGCCCCATAATTCTGGAAGAATAGATGTAGGGGCCAGTACAACTAAGACAAGGAAAATGCTTGTCAGTGCAAGTCCTTGAATTCCTCCTATAAAAACCATCAAGTTAGGTGCTAGGACTTTTGGCTGATTATGTCAACAGGATTAAGGCAGTGCAGCCAGATAGGTCATCTTGACCTTGTCCATCTAAGAAACTGTTCCTTGGCCCTACTTTCAGATGCTGGCTGTAGAAACAGGAATGAATCTGGCTGTAGAGAAGTTTGGAAGAAAATCACCTTTTCAGAACCAATTCAGAATTGGAGCATTAGCTGTGTTTGGCAACACCAGAGCTCTCTCCTCTGTCTTGTCCTTTCTCCCCTTATTCCAAAGAGATGTCAGCTTTCATTTTCACCTCAGTGCTCAGGTGTGCCCCCTTCTGAAGTGACTTTTAATATCCAGTGTTGGTGTAAACACTCCTTGCTCAGTCATGGTGAACCTACTTCTTATCTTGTTCCTTCTGTCAAAATTTCCAGGATATGTTTTACTCTTTTTGCCTCATGAGGGTCTGCCAAAACCCTCCTCATCATGCTCAAATCTGTATCCTCCTATACAAGCTTCTTCACAAGCCAATACCCTTTGATTCTTTATTATTAATAGCTTTTTGCCAGTCCGTTACTATCAGGCCATCTATCTATGTATTGACTAACCCTTGCCTTGTACAACTTCATTAAGTTAATGAACAAGATGACTTTTTTTTGAGATATTGTTATTGTTCGTATGTTAGGGAAGGGAAATGCACGAAGGTATGGAAATCAAGACAAAAGAGATTCCTGGGCTGCCTCTTTGTATACCTACAGTTAACTGTACACTTTGGGAGGCTCCCGAAAGCTCCATGTTGGGTGCTCTTCCATTAGCCCAGAAAAGTTCTTGGGGATGCACAGCTCTGCCATCATTATAAGCACTTTAAAGGACGATGAGAAACCTGGGAAGGTAGAAGAAGGAAGGAAACCCATGAACAATTTAAAAATGGAGAGATTTACAATTCTGCTGATCTTTTGATTATGTCATGGGGAAAAAAGACGAAAGCAGAGCACTGCATGATGCCGCTGATCAGCCACAGGATATTATGACCTGCCACAGGATAGCAATATGCTGCCAACGCTTCTAAAAGCTGTGCTACCTGATTAGACTGCTAAGATGGGTCTAGATGTATCTGTAATACTGCAAAAGAAAAAATGAGGTCAGTAACTTTTCAGATTAAATTGAAAGCACTTGGGTAGGAAACGAGGATTGTTGCATGCCAGTAAAGCTCTGTCTTGGCATGCCAATTATATCTGATAATTGTATTCCATTTGTACAGCTTGGGGAAGGGCGAAGCACTGATTTTTAGCACACTATCATACCCTGCTTCTAGCTTTGGGCCAGACTCAGAATCTAATGAACAAATTCTGTTCAGAGCTACAAGAAGATGTTACTCTGTGTAACATAAAGCAGCACACTTTACGTTGCTTAAATATTAATGCAATCACTAGCAAGGAAACTCCAATAAAGACTGTGGCAATGACACAGTGATTCACAATAATGATACAATTAACTCTTGCAGTAACTGCACATTATGCCCCACTGTGCAGACACTCAAGTCCCTAGATACCCTATAACCTATTATTAAATAAACAGTGTTCATATTAATGGCATCTACAGCCAACATTATGAAAGTTTAGGAGCAGTTAAAAGCTTCAGTGAGAGATGTGGCTGAAGTGTGGTCTCTACTGGGATGAGTTTCAGCAGTAAAGTAGTGTCTGGAAACCCCTCTCTTCCCAGCCTGTAGGTGGGGAGATAAGCACTGTTCATCGGCTCAGCATGCAGCAAGATAATACAGGGTAAGTGGTCAGACAGCCAGTGCAGAAATAAGGAGGCAGCAGTAATGGCGTGGCCAGTCAGTAGGTGCTGTATTTTGCTTGAACAGCCCAAGTAACACTTGAAAATGAAATATTTGAAATCATCTAAAGTGCTGCTGGTTTGTTTGACACCGTTTTGTACAAATCATGCTCCAAACTGCTTTGTGGATTTAAACATTGCAAGTCTGGGGTTAAACAGTAGCACTGCAGGGAGCAGCAGTGAGGAGGAGAAATGGCATTTTGTTGACAGCAGAAGATTTGGGCTGTGTGGACTCAAAGGATGATTCTGCTGCAGAGTCAAGACACTTGATTATAAAAATCCCTTGGAGGGGTTCAGCTCCTGCAGATGAACTCATCTGTGATCTGTGCACTGTCATGCAATGGCCTGTTCAGCAGTGACTGGAGTGTGTCTTTGATCTTAGGTGCATGACTTATTCCTCCCCAGTGACCGAGTCAGAGAGGGCAGGATCTGGCAGCTCAAGGCTGTAATCAGTACACACTAATAACAATATTCAAGACTGCTAGGGAGGGCTATTCCCTTCTTTTGTTATATATTAATATTTTACTATTTAAAGAGCAAAAATAGTGAAGAAAGGACCCTATATTGGTTTGATAGCTAATTACATGGGAGTAATTAAGGTGGACAGTATTCTTATGCGTGTTATACATGAAAGTGCTGGCACATGGAGTAGCAGAAGAAAGTTCCTGTGCTGCTTAAGAGAGAAATTGCGAAGTTGTCAGTAAGGAAAAGGCTTTTTTATTTTTATTATTATTATTCCTTTATTTACTTACTTTGAGATTAAAACTAACTTTTTTTTTTTTCTGTTCAAACTTGTGGTCTCTGCATGGCTCATGCCCCTTTATTTAATGAAGACACAGCTCAGGGTGCCCAGCACACACAAAGCCTCCTGCATCTTACCATCTTGGAGGCCTTATGGAAGTCTGTTCTTAATGAGTAGTCTGGGATTGATTTTGTTTACCAAGTAGAAAACACATGTTCTATTGTTTTTGTTTGTTTGATGATAGAAATCATATTTGTTTCCATCAAAATGAAGTCAAAACAAAAGATCAAAAAATTGAATCAGTATTTTTCCCTCTTAATGCACGTATGGGAATTGCCTGGAAATCAGCTTGAGTCACAGAATTATAGGGCAAAATCTTGAAGTACCGTCTCAGAAAAAAACCCCTACTGACTTCAAAGAGAATACTGCCTGAATAAGGATAGAAGAGGGATTGCAGGGTCTCAGTAAAACACGGCTTCAGCAGCAATGGTGCAGTCCTGACCAGGAATTTGCAAGATCAAAAACTGGGAAGGGCAGAGATCTACTGGTTCATACATACAGTCTCATGCAGTATTGGGAATACTGTTCTCTGCTTCTTGTCAGAGTCCTCAGATGTCCTCTTTCTGGAGGGAATATATTTCTGTATACTATTTCAGGTATGCATCTGCATACACATGCATACATACATGAGCTGAAAATCCTTGCCTGCACATCAGAGTGTTTTCAAAGGGGAAATGCTAACATATGTTCACATTGTTTTGAAGATACTATCTATGTTGTGTTCACTTCAGGGCTCAGAAACTGTCACATTTCCATGTGAAAGATGGCTTGCAAAATCTGAGGATGATGGAGAGATTGTCAGAGAACTGGTACCATCTGAAATTTTTACTGAAAAACTCATGAAGGATGGGACACTTAAGCAGATAGAGGAAGAAGTTGAAGACCCATTAGAAGGTAACATAATTCTAGGAGTAAGTAGGGACCTTTTAATCTGAATTTTTTCTTAAATAAAACACATGTGGTTCAGGCAAACGCAACGTTGGTATGACTGTTCACATTTCTTTCCCTTCCTGTTCTCTGGCTTCTCTTATACCTGAAGCACTTCTGTGCAATAATACCATTGTTTTCCTGTAGGCCATTTATAAACCTATCACAGACACCCTTTTACACAAACATAATTTGCACATCTCCTTAAAGGCCTAATAAAATTCTTCCATCTTCTCTTCCAGACTCTGCAAACATTTGTCCAACTTCACCCATCTTGTACACTCTGCCCCTTCCTTTCCTACCCTACCAGTCTGATTTATGCTTCTCTTTCCTCCCAAATTTTTTTTCCTGCTGCTCTTCAGGTACATATGGATACTCTCTAGAAATGTAGCTCTCAGCAGCCACTATCACCTCATTAGAGTGCCCCTGGGGAGGAGAATAATTACTTATTCAGTTCTGAGCCCATCTTACAGTGTTCATATGCAGTGTTTGACCTTCCTGGTAGCTGAAGCAACTGAACAAGAACTCAAGTTTCATCCAAGACTCATTGCTTCTCTCTATGTCCAGCTGTTCCTAAGTATTTTTCCTCTAGGACCTACTTTTCCCACCCTGAACTCCTTCTGCCCTTGAAAGAAGTCATGAACCTTCTTACACTCTGAGCACAGCAAATTGAATTCAGCTGACATTTTCATTCTTGGTTCTTGTATCTGGCAACAAGATGATTCAACAGGGAAAATAATTTCTCTCCCCATTTCTTTTCTCTCAGAGTCTGATTTGCATTTACAGTATACCATTGTTAGAGTGGAATTTAGACGGTTTTTGAGTGTTTTCCATCGCCAAGGGAAGAGGTGTTTCATTGTAAGGGAGGTTGGAGCCTGACCACTGTGCCCTTAAAAGAGAGAAGAGTTTTCCTCCTGTTAGGAACTATGTGGGAGATTTTTTTTCCTGCAGAGGCAAAGACAATTTTAATATCAGTGAGTAAATACACCACTGCTAGATGCCTGCATGACATTTTCTTTAATTTACTAACTTCTGTTGCTTTACCTGCCCCATCCCTGGCAGTATTCAAGGCCAGGTTGGACAGGGCTCAGAGCATCCTGGTCTAGTGGAAGGTGTCCCTGCCCATGGCAGGGGGTTGGAACTGGATGAGCTCTAAATGAGCTGTAAATTAGAGCTATAAATGAGCTCTAAGGGGCTCTTCCAGCCCAAACCATTCTGTGATTCGTTCTATGATACCTTGCATTAGTTACTATATGCTAACTAACCTAGATGACTATTTTTTATCTTCCAAACGCAACGACTTAAACCAAGTTTTACAATCTATGGAATAGGCTTTTTGGTTAACTAAAGGAGGATTTTATTGGGAGCTAGAACTAAGTTTTGGGACTTCTGCTTTAGATATAAAATATCTGGGATGGGAACTACATCTTTTTCATCTGCGTGAGTCCTCACGCATCTTGGGCTGTGACACAGTCTAAACGACAATGGACAATCAGCTTGTGTTATTCTGAGGATCATTTGTTATATAGCAGACTGCATTTCAGTCTTGAAGGTGTTCACAACTGGCAAGTACAAACCAAACAGGGACGCACAGAGTAGACTCTATTCATTGCTTTCTTCATTATAACAGTTGTCTCTTAAATACTAAGCTATAATACTGCAGGACATAATGCGAAGAGGCAAACCAGAAAACCTGGCCTTGTACCTAGTCTGTTGAATAGTCTCAGGTGATGATCCTGATCCATTTCTTAGAGAAATCAGTGGAAATCCTTCATGGACAATGAAGCAGAATTTTCCCTGTTTTACTGGGAAAGCTAGATACAGAATAAAAAGACAACCTAGATATGTTCTTTCATGCTGCTAACACACCAAGAAGAATCATAACTAAGACTTTGTGCCTTTTTCCCATTTGCAAGGAGGCATTCCCCAAGGGTCATATGCCACCACAGTAATCAGAGACTTGTATAGTCCCTAATTGTTTTCCTGGAGAGGATGCTTTCAGTAACTGTTTGTTTTCCGGTGTAACTGGGAAAAAGAGTAGCAAAATAAAAATAGGAATATTTAACAGGTTTGGTAAAGCATATTACTAAAGACTTGATGGGGTTTTAGTGAATCATCATTGAGCAAGCTAAAGAGAAAGGGTACTTAAACAGTACAGCTCCAGCACTTCCTTAATTAAATACTGTCTCAGCAAAAGGACCCAGAATCCTGTTCTCTTTCTGTTTGGGGAATTTATAGAGATACATGCCATTAACTCTGGTAGTAACTGCACATCTAAATCCCTGGGGTTTGTTTATGGAAGATGGAGCATAAAGAATTCACAACACTGAATCACTTGTTCTCAGATGTATGTCCCTTGAGCCTTAGTATGAAAAGGTGCTGAGTTCCCTCACCTCTATTGTCTTCACATCCAGTAATAACCATAACTATTCTTTGCATTTTTAACTGTGAACTATGTGATCAAAGCAATAGACAGACATTGATTAGATGGAGATAAGGAAAGTCAGCAAATTTCAGCCCAGCGATTCCCCAGTCTTTGGATCATTACCAGAGCCTGGAAGCATAAGGCATATGGGATTTTAAGTCTCCAAGAACTGAGTGATGAGCAGAAAGCTCAGGGACCATTTTCTTAGGTAAATTCAATAACTAAGATAGATCTTGATAATTCACCTGGCCAGAAATCACGTCGCCGTTTCTTTCTGCAGTTCACACCTACAAGATCAGCGTGTTCACTGGAGATATCTATGGTGCTGGGACAGATGCTAATGTTTTCCTAAATGTCTATGGAGATCTGGGAGACACAGGAGAGAGAAAACTCAGCAAATCTGAAACAAACTTCAACAAGTTTGAAAGAGGACAGGTACAAATGCAATGGATTAATAACACTTTCTATTTCACAGTCTTTAAGGTAATAAGTCCATGACTGTCTTTATAGTCTGCATTTTCCTGAGGGATGAAATGATTGATTCCACTTACCATGTTCATTACCTTTTAAAATTATTTGTATGGATTCTCAGCTGGGTATTACAACCAACAGGCACTGCAGCAAATGGGTAGATGTTTTTGTGAAGTCATTGACAGACAAATTATGAGCTTGATCCATATAAACTGGCCTGAATTGTTAGCTGTAGGCATGAGAGCACACAAAACATGAGATGTCTCATTCCCATAGCTTCTGTGCAACTGACTTGCATGTATAAAGTATATATTGTAATTCACCACATAGCATGATAAATTGACGAGATCTAAACTGCAGCTGTGTTTGACAAAATAACATCAAAAGTGGTTCTCTGTGGTCAGCCCATGAGTCATATTCACAGCCTCATATGGACATACTTAGACACAGTGATGCCAAAGATTGTGGCATCTGGATTGCCCATACAAATCTCACTGTGTTAGAAAGGGAAATAGACTTGAAAAATCTGGATGTAAAATTTCAGGAATTCAATATTCTAATTGGTTTTAAAAGTGACATTTTGTGCAGCTCCCCTCATAACAGAAACAGGCTTCAAAACACTTCCCTGCAGAACAGTTTTAGCATACAGATATGCCTCTACAGACTGCTGCAAAGCTTTTAACCAAACACCATCATGTGAGACGGAATTTAAACACACATCGTGCCCTGCAGTCTCCACTTGCTTTTGTCTGGTAGATGATCTGTGAGAGGTCTTTAACAGAAGCAACTGCTGTTGAACACTCTGCAGGAGGACACGTTTACTATACAGGCTGTGGACCTTGGCATTCTGTACAAGATCAAGATTCGTCACGACAACAGCATGTTCAGTCCTGACTGGTTCCTGGATAAAGTAGAGATCCTGGATGAGACCACAGAGGAGTCATTCATGTTCCTGTGTGAGCGCTGGCTCTCTAAAAAGAAAGAGGACAAAAAGATAGAGCGTACGCTTTATGAACAGGTACAATTATGGCTCAAAGCAGTGATACCAACCTACTGCTACTAATGAAAAAAAAGAAAAAAAAGGTTGAATATCTGTTTGAAGTCCAAGACAGCTCATTAGGGACTTAGGGGTTTTTTTGCCTGTCCAAAACAAACTTGTGATTTTCAGACAAGTGCGGAAAGTATGGCCACTCTCAGCCCAGTATCACTAATACTGTAATTTGCAATTTCAACAGAAAAATCAAGGAGTCTGAGTGAGATTCTTCAGATTAGAGCCAAAGTACCTTGCTTATACACAGTAGAATATATTTCCCTGCTGTTCTCCTTGCTGTCTTCACAAAGCAGGTTAGTTATGGGTCCCACTATTCGAAGTCCTAAAGCCAAAATATTGGGTCCCTGGACTTCATCCTCACCAGACTAGACAGGTTTATCTTTTCAGATCCTTCTTCTACCACTGCCAAACATAAAAAGTCTGGTCTGTTTGCTGCCTCTCAAAGCACCAAATATTCCTTATTGAAATACCCTTTTTACTTGCACATTCTCTGTTGCTTTATCAGGCTAATGTAGGTAATTGGAATTCGAGGTACATGCATGAATTAAAATAGGCAAACAAGATTAATAGACCTCTTGCTTCTATACAGTGAGACATAATAAATCAGCTGATTATAAGTCCGTTGTATTTAAGGCGTCCACTTTGCAAAATACAGTGACATATTAATTGACAGTTACCACTAAAATTATCATCAGTGAGAATGGGGCAGACTCATCCTGAATACAACAGAATAGATATGAGAAGAGTTACACCATGGATGAGTATTGCCATATGCTCCCTCATAAAATTGCAACAGACAATGCTATGAATGCTTGTGGTCACACTCACCATGTTGCCAATATTAATTCATAATGAGGAAAAGCTAATCACTTTTTTTTTTAACGTTAATTACATGACTGTGTGGTAAGAGCCTCACATTTGTTGGATAATGACATTAAGCACATCTGCAGTGAATCTTCAAATACAATAGATGTTTTGTATTACTCAGTTTTGCAGTACTCTCCCTCTCATGCTCTTTGAACTGTACCAGGTACTTTCCTCTGACACCTTGGTGTGTGCCCTAATAAGCAAATCTGGCACTGATCCATTTATCTGAATTTTCTGTGGCTATTGCTCACACAGGTAGCAGAGGAAACGTCACAACACAACATAAACTCTATTAGGCCCGTTATATTTTCTTTTATTATAACACACATCCAAAATGGCCTGTCAAGGTTACCAATGAAGTAAATGAATGACCTGCAGTAAATTACAAGTCACATTTAGTTGAGCTACACTGAGCAAAGAGCTACCTGGGGGACTACAGGGATTTCTTCTTATGTTGTTCTGGGAGGCACATGGGAACAGCTGACAACACTTGAGCTCTCAACCTCATCACCCTCCCCTACATGCCTTTTCTAACTAGAGCTATGATGGAGAGCGGAACAGCCTGAATGGCTCATCTCTCAGCCTGTCGAGTCAGGATAGCAGTGGAAACCCGAAGGAGACGAAAAAATCCAGCTTGGTCAAGGCAGCAGAAGAAGGATCATGTAAGCAAGCACCGTATTTGATTGCTTGCATGCATGTGTTCTTGGCTTTCAGTGCTTGAGAGGCTGTGTTCATCCTGGTGAAGAGCAAGGAGAAGCAGAACAGCAAGTTCCTTCTCTTCAACTTCTGTTGTGGCTGCTTTGGAAAGGCTCCATCGGTGCTTGTGTTTCTCTATGTGCTGCTTTTCCTATAGCTCTCCAACCCTAAAAGTGAAATAAGCCATGAAGCTCACAGCAACTTCAGTGTTTCCAACCCTCTTTTATGTCTCCTCTGGAAAGCTGTGGTGCTATAGCTTGTCAGAATTAACTTCTCCATTACCAGCAGAAGTAAGCTCTCGGAACAGTTGGATGCTTTGTACAGTGTAACAATAGGGTTATGTAGGTGGTTATTCAAGGGTACACTGTTTTCTGTCATGGTGAGGTAAAATGCACAGGTGACTTCTATGGGCAACTGCAAGAGCAAATCATGCCCCTTAAATGCCTAAAGTTAGATGAGACCATTCACACCAGCCCGTGTGGAAAAGCAGCTAGTCAACAACAACCATAGAACCTCCTCAGAAAGAAACCCACTGACCTGATGAACTACACTACCTCTTCCTCCTCCTCCACCACAACTGCATAGAGGACAGCAATTCAGAGGTGGGGAGAAGTGACGCTAGCTTCTGATCAGTGGGGTCTGATAGAGTAAAGGGAAGAATTTATGCAAATTTTGTATAATTTTGTCTGAGGTGTCCTTTAAAGGATCCAAAGCTCTTTGCAGTGAGAGGGACAGTAGGTAAATCAGATATGTTATCACCAAAAGAGCTTCCCTTGAACTATCAGAGGATCTTTTCCACATGATCTTTTTAAGTAGCTCTTGTTGCTGATATCAGCTTTTTTCTCCTCTTATATCTCTTTGACCTACTCAAGATGATATTTCATGTAGCATATTAGAACTGAATTACCAAAGACAGCTTTGAATTTCTAGTTTGCCGTGTTTAAACCATCTCCCATCCTGACCAAGGATGTTTGTTTAACATTAGTTGAAATATGATTTGCTTTAGAACCCTTAAAGTTTTTTTCTTACAACATATCACTGCATCACAGCAGCTGTTGTGAGATATGGGAAGCTGAGCAAGAGCACAGATAAGTCGCTTGGCTCTCAGAAAACAAGCTTCGACTGAGAGTGCTCAAGTGAGCTTGTTCTTTTCTAGAAGTGGTCTGTCTTATACCTGGGCAGAGGAGAAGGTTCTGCAGGTGCTGTCACTGATGGACAGGGAGTCCATGAACTATGGACTTAGTTTTTCTACTCGAATAACTGATAGAAACTGTTGGTGGCTTTAGTGAGAGCTACATTTTTAGGGTCTGGTTCCTGAGATAAAGCAAAGTTGACTATATGGATTGCATCTTATAAAAATCGAAATATGCTGGACTGTGTCTGCAAAGGCCAGCTTTCATGCAGGAGGCTAATTCTGCTCTAGTGCTGCTGGTAGGAAGTGAGAAAGCTGTGCATGTTTTGTTCCTATCCTGGCTGTGAAGGAAGGCTGGAAGATTGGTTTCCATCAGCTGAAGTTAACCTTAGCAGATTTCCCCAGTCCATTGGTATTTCCTTATAACTTCATTACCACATAGACTTTTTTTCTCTGTGTTATATACCTTTTTATTAACTAACTCTGTGTTCCAGGACGATGACTTATCATCTAAATTACACCTACAGTTTGTTGTCATTCTCCATGGGTCTTTTAGGTGTGTGACTAAGATGTTGTGTTGTAGGGAGTAACTGGGCAGCAGCTGAGTCATGGTTGCTGTCTGAATACATGCTGTTAGTCCACAGCAAGTGCCAAGTAATTAAAGTTATCTTAAACTTTCATGGTAAGGCAAGTGTAAAATGATGTAATTTGGCTTAGGAATTTAAGATAGCTTTCACTGTCATGGTCGAAGGGAATTCACACAAATGGCTACTGCAGCTCAGCTGATACCCATTAGCTTGTTGTGATGTGATATCTGGGTTGCATGTCCCATGCCTTTAAGTTGTGAGGCACATATAGTGCTGTATGTTGCTCAACCTGGTCTGCAACCCATCTGTCTTGGGTCAAACATTCTTCTGTAATCTCATATTGTGCTCAAGTGGAAAATGAGTGATTCCCATGTTCCTTCTGATATTATTTCTGTGGTGAGACAATGGATAACATCTGCCATGTTGGCATTCCAAGTAGTTTCACAAATAATGGGTGAAACATCAGCATCTCCCATGAGAACCCCTCTCCATTAGAGCTAGGATAGTTCCCATCATCTCCTTTGTGCCGGGTGGCCTTTCTCTTCCGAGTTCTGGAGTTTCTCATCAACACTATCTCTGTTGCAGTGACACGGCCTCATTAAGGAAACTGCATCCTGAAGGAATGTCAGATAAAATGGACTGTGTGAGCCAGACAGCCACCTCCTGGGCTGGATAAAAAGCCAGCTGTTAATTAGTTGATTAGAGGAAGTGGTACTGAGTGCTGCCTGGGAAAGGGACTGATAGTTAAAGCAGCCCAGTTCTGACTCTCCCATGCTCAAGCTGGTGAATATCTTTGGGGGACAGGAGGTGATGTGGGGATGGAGAGCAGCAAAAGGCCCTCTTGACTAGGAACCTGCTGCAGACAATGTGGTCTGTATCTCTAATGAAACCCAACCTTCTGTGGGGTGCATGTGTGCCTTCAAACAGCATGACCCCTGCATAGGGGCTCAAGGAAACAGGGCAAAGAAAGATGGGCTGAAGGACCTGTGTTGTCCTGCTGTGGCCACATGCCTCAGGTTCTAGCTTCTCCTGCATTTGAAGAAGTAGAACTATGAGTCCCAGAGAAAGAGGGAGACAGTGGAGAGGGGAGATAAACAAATTAGAGGATTACTCTTCTAGTTTTTAGAGGAAAGAATAACAATCAGTGTTTCCTGCTGTTTCCTGAAACAGTGTTTCCTGAACTTACTGTACATCTCTGTATCCATTGTTTAAAGTGGGAAATGATAATTTCTCATACATCTCATTTTTTCTACCAATGTTTCAAGTACTTTGGCTTGAGGATGCAACATCAGTTGGAAATGCTTGTAGTTCTGTGAACTTACTCTGGCAAAGGAGAACAGGATAAAAACTGTATAAAAGAAAGTTCTGTCCCTCTTCAAGATATACTTTATTTTAAAGAGGGGTCTGGGGCTGATCTAAACATGATCCTTTGATATATTCTTACAAAATTTGTCTTGCCTAAAGCTAAACTCTTTCTTCTCCTAATACTGTCAGCTCCAATGACTACTTTGTGAAGAATGCATTGCATATCATTATGCTGATGCACACACTGAAATGTAAATGATACTATAATGGGGAGAATAAGTCTTGCCTAATCATCAGTTTATTTTGTGTTGGTACACAAAATCCTCAGACTGGGACTGAATGAATCTCTCTGGGTTCTGCTCTGCCCAGAGGTAAGAACAGATTTGGTCAGCATGAATTCATGCCTTCCCTGGTATTGCACACATATTCTAAGCTTGACATGAGTTTCTAGTACAACCCCCACCCCGAGAATGCTGTTAGTCATCATAAAGCAAAATTAGATACCAATCCCAGGTGATCTGAAAGCCAACCGAGCCTTTTCAAATCAAAAAAGTGATGATGAAGCCAGGCTGAGATTCTAGTCTGTGACAAGGCAAGTTTCAGAGCTCTGAGTCTTGTCAGAACAGTTTGAACAGCCCTGCACAAATGTTCTGAGTATTTAGCATCTAATTCTGCACCGCCTGCTCAGCTTACCCAAATGAGCCTTTGGAAAGCAGTTGAAAAGCAGTCTGGCACTTCCTCCCTTTCAGCAGCTGAACTGCAATGTCTGAAAACCACAGAACAACCTGCTAAGTCCCAAGCCTTGGCCTGAAGGTTTTTACCAAGAATGATATTATTACTCAAAGTATAAAATTATTGAGTGGCCTACCATTAATACAAGGATTGTTCATGGTTTGCCTGGATTTGCAAAGGGATGCTGGAACCCTGAGCTGCCCCATAGATCACGGCAATCCTTGAATGAATCACAAAGGAGAACATTTGCAGTTGTACTGGGACATTCACTCAGTGATGGTTTACCTTGGAGTCAGCATAGATTTATTTGCCTTTATTGAAGAGTGAACATAAGATCACTTTAATCTAATAGCCTATTTAAGATTTAGTTGCTCAGTCTCATCTTCAGGAAGGTCTCTTGGTGTAAATAAAAATTCAAGCCCTTTGCTGTTCTGTCAGCTATTAGTGAGAAATCTGGACTTACAACCTCCTTGCAGCTAATAGGGTTGCCTGGGGAAATTAACCCTTGCAGAATTCAGTCCCAAGTGTATGATAAAGTAGTCTCCCATGCACATTTGTAGCCCAGTGCTGCATGGTGTTATCCCTTCTCCAAATGAGCTCAATGGGATGTGAACCTACTTAGCATGCACGACTGCTCCACCTGATGGGATGAGTCCTTGGTTTTCTGAAGTCTCATGTAAATGCATATGTCTGGGGGGTTTCTGATGACTAAACCTTTGTTTGTTGCAGTGATCCCATACCACATAACTGTGACGACCGGCACTGAGTACGACTCCAGCACCGACAGCCGAGTGTATATCATCATCATGGGTCCTCAGAAAGTGCAGACTGAGAGGCTGTGGTTGGATCTCCCAGAAGGAAAAGACGAGTTTGCAGACGGCTCTGTAGAAAAATTCTCTGTTTGGGGCCTAGATGTTGGGGAGATCAAAAAAGTGGAGGTACTTTGTGAAGACAGAACGAGTACTGGAGGCATACACATGGCCAAAGAAAACATATGTTGCTGTTATTCTTAGCAGTGAAGGGAAGGCACTCGGGTCGAAAAGGGCTGTAATCAGGGATGTGCTAATGAGATTTCACATGTGTCTGAACCTGAAAATAAGTATGCTCTATATCTCACAAAACCCAAGATCCTCAAGAGGCAGAAGATAATCTTGAATTATAAGGAAGCTGTAACATGTCCATTTTGTCCCGGCTCTGGCACTGTATTTAGTCAAGCCCTGTTATTGACAGATGCAGTGAAGGTTCCCAGGATGCAGTCCTCCACTGGTCTTTTTCCTAGTTGATTTTTACTCTCCTTCCAGTTGGGTTTCATAAATTGTGCCTGCAGTGAGAAACACATCTTGTATAATTTCCTAGCTAAACATTAAAATTGTTTTCACAGCTTGGAGGACCCAGGCTCAGAGAAGAAAATTAATCATTGCTCATAAGTAACGTGCACAAATAGATTTTGGTACAGGAGACATTTTTTCTGCTATGGCTCAGGGAGACAGAATTTGCATAGACTTTCCATCACTGAACTTAAACTTCACATGAATCTTCCAGAGCATTTGCGTACATTATTCTTATTTCATATGGCAGTTTCATCTCTTTGAAAGCCTGCTCCAGCCCATCGCCTGCTGAAACCCACAGCATCTTGGAACTTCAAGAGCCTATTTAGTTTTATTTTTACCCCATGCTTTGTGTTTCAGTAAACTTATGTGCTGATGCTTGTGCTTGTGTATTTGGTAGATAAATGAAAAAATATAGAGAAATCCTAAGTAATTAAAAAATCTTTGGAGTTGTATGTCCTGTTGTAGCAGCTGATAGACTGATGCACCCCTATTAGTTTTCATTCAAGCAATGGACTCTAAGAAATTTCCTTGAGAGATTTCCATATTTTGAGTTTACCATCAGCCATTTCCTTAATGCACTCCAGTGTCTGGTTATTATGAGTGTTAGTGGTACTTTCTATCTGGTCCATCTCTAGGTGAAAATTTGAAAGTGAAGCAAGTGCATAAATCCTTCTCTGTGCACATGGAAAACACATGGACTGGGACAGAAAAGCCAGTATAACCCCTCAATGTCAGAGAGACAAAATGAACAGGCTGAAGAAAGAAACAGAAAAGGATGCTGGAAAAGAGATCATGAGTAGGGCGAGGAAGGGGTAGAGAATAGGAGAAAGTAAGAGCAGACACTTGGAAATAGGCAGAAGCGAAGGATTACAAAAGGGAAAGAAGATAAAAGGTTGTAAATGAAATGCAGAGTTAGAAAAAGAAAGAACATGTAGCTTTCAAGCTGGTGATGGTCTTCTGTACTCTTTCAGCCCTATCCTCAGTGATGTCACCAGTCTGCTGCTGCCTCCCTCTTGCTCATGTTCCTTTTTAGTTTGTAACCCCCCAGCTTGTAGCTGGAGGAGCCATCTGCTCCTGGTCTTCTGCTTTCCTTCATGCAGTGCCCTCTGCTTGGAAGGTCCCTTGTTGTTGATCCATGTCCCAGCAATGACATCGGTGTGCCAGTCTGCTGAGGTTGCCATGGAATCAGTCCATATTCTTCTTGTACAAAATTGCAGTGTTCAGGGACATTGCAGAAAACTGGAGTTATCTACTTGGGAAAAGTGAGGAACAGTTCGTTCTCAGGTTTGGCATTTGGCCGCTTCTGGAAGAAGGCAAGAAGTTCTGAATATCAGTTACCATGTGAAAATAGCAGAGCATGGGGATTAAGTTTTCAGAAGCCCTCTGTATAACCCAGGCAGCAGACTGCAGGATTTAGTAGGATCATAAGATTTGCAGTGTGATGCCACTTCTACTTTGGTATTATTCTCCTGCTGCAAATATACTTTAGTGAAAGCAGAAACAGTGGAACATGAAGTAATTTGAAAGCGGCTCATTTATACCTGTCTTGTAAGCCTAAAGATATCATATTTACTACTGGGGTACTTTAACAGATACACTGACATGAAAATAAATAATACATATTATTCAGTAGGCACTTTATACTGTGTTCTTAAGACAAATTTAAATATTTCTTCTCCTAATGAACAAAAGTATCTCTGTTCATAGACAGCTGTTGCTGTAGAGACACAGGTATGTTGGGAAGAGTCTTTCACTGTTCTCCATTTCTAAACCACTTCTGGACTTTTGGTTCAGAGCCTTTCTCAATCACAAGCACAGAGTAAAGCCAAGGACATACAAGTATTTAAAGTCCAGCCCTTCACTGACTAAGGGCAGGATTCTGGAAGACCCTGAGGTCACTCTAGTATTCTCTGTACCTTGCACATTAAGCAGGAAATCTTTTTTTTTTTTTCTTTTATCTTTTCCTTCTATCTCAAGTTAGAGACCACTCAGATTGTCTCCCATTTCCCCCTGTTGTTGCACTTAGTTTCTTTGTGACTGTGAGCTGCTCGGTGTGAATTGTGCATCTTAGTCTTGGTGATGTGAGGTACTCAACGGTCCTTCAAGGACAGTAGGAATGAGTTACAAAGGTTTTCAAACAGCCTTTGAAATTCTGTTGTTCTGACTTCAGCTTGAACATCTCAGCCTCAAATAACTTGTGATATTAGCACACACGTCCAGGCTATGCTGCTGGTGTGGCCATGGCTTTTGAGAGATCACTCGCTGTATTGAAGTGGTGTATTTACAGAATTACTTGGAATTGAAAAGCAAATCCCAGTGCTCTGCTCTCAAAGTCCAGACATAAGGAAGGCTCAGTACTGGATGAATTTGTCCCAAACTTTATAACACTGTTCTTGAGGCCCTTGGAAATCTGCTTGTGTGCAGATTTTTCAGGGCACCTGGATGTGCAGGATGCTTTCTTCTGTCCAGTCACTGATACCAAAGGAGTTAAAGGTTGCTGTGAAAATCTGGTACCTAGCAATGTCTTGGAATGACGCTTAAGGAGGGAGCTGTAATGGACACAAAAGAGCAGCAGATTTTAATAAGCTCATTAAGATTTTTCCACCAGCTGCTTTGTCCCTGCTTCACTGCAGAGCCATTGCCCTGAACTTTTCCCATTGCCTTTTCTGTGCCATCCTGCAACAGGTCTCAAGAGGCTGTGTGCAGACTCTCAGAAGGGCTGTGGGTTTGGAGGAGGGCAGCCAAGTTGTCAGAGAGGCAGTGGGAATGCAAGTGCTCTATTTCCATTCACCTCACACCCCAAGAATCTGAGTATTAATGCATCCATTGTAGACCTGTATTTCCCTGGTGGTTAACTCTAATTTTCTGCAGCTGCACAGACATTAGTATAGTAATAATACTCTTAACAGCAGTGATGGCTGAGACAGTCAGATAAAAAAGACCATTTGTTTTTTGAGGAAAGAGAGACACCATGGATACATCACCCTATATGAATCTGCTATTAAAAATTATTTTGCAAGCAACTCTAAATATCCTAATACATTCAAAACAAACCCAGTGAGAACTAAGGACCTCATTTTCCTAGAAACAACACAAACAACACCTGCTCTGAAAATAATGAAGTGCAGGTACCTCTTTTATTCTACCTTTTATGTACAGATAGCTCACTGGAATGACTGGCTGATGGAGTTTCATGCATCAACTGGGATAGAGAATAATGCTTTTAAGTCTGCCCCAGGATGAATTCCTCACATTCTGTAAGAGGGACACATGCAGTTTCTTGGAGAATTTGGACCATCATCCTCTTTTTCCTGATGATATTCCTGTAGAAACACCACTTATTGCTCATTATGGCCCTTGCCAGAATCAGCTCCAAGGTGTGCCTGGACTTTCCTAACCTCATCCCTGCACACTTGAGCAGTGTCTCTGTATTTCTCCAGGTTCACTGACCCTGCTGCCACATCTGGTGTTCTTCCTTTTTCCATTTAAGTTTTGTCAGGAGCCTCTTGTTCATCCATGAAGGCTTCCTGCCACTCTTGTATGACTTCCTGCTCTCCAGGATGGACTATTCTTTAGCCTGGGGGAAGTGATCCTTGATCGTGGAAGATCAAACAGTTACAGATGTAAGCTCCATCTGTTGCCTTTTACACAAACATGGAGCTTTTGTAGTTAAAGTAGATGGGAAACAGAGAAACAGCCTGATACATACAGTTGACTTAGACTTCCTTAGAGGGAAGGAGTGTTTGAATAACACATGTGGGTGTTTGCCTAGCTGTGTCTTTCATCTTGGCTATGAAGCTTTGGATAGTCACTTCTAAGTGTTGCAACAGCAGTGGAAGGGGTTAGAAAGTGGAGAAAAGGGTCTGCAGAGATTGACAAATTAGCAGATAGAGGTCAGTGGAGAAGAAGCAGAGCAGTATTAGACTGGAAATGTTTTCATGTAGGTCAGTCCAGTCTATCTTCCTTAATTATGGGACTGGCTGTGTCCTGCTTTCCCTCATGCTCAACAGCCCTTGCCCTGAGCTTCCTTGCCCACATCATCTGCTATGTCTACTGATGTCTAGACTGTTGGGCACCAATGGCATGAACTGTTTCACAGCTTCCTCCGTTCCACTCTGGAAATGGTTTGTATGATGGTGAGTGTAGTCAACACTCAGTCCTACATCTCCGGTTTAAACACCTAGTAGGGGGCTTTCGTCCCAAGAAATCCCCTTTAACAAGCAGATGTTTTCTCCCTGACTCTCTCAGGTGGGGCATGACGGCGCTACCCCTGAGAGCTGCTGGCTGGTGGAAGAGCTCAACATCGTCGTGCCCACCAAGGGTGTCATGTATAACTTTGTCTGTAAGTGCTGGCTGGCCAGAGACAAAGGTGATGGGCTCACCTCAAGAATCCTCAACATTCTGGATGCGGACTGTGTTAACATTGGCGTCAAGGTAGGCTCTAGGCTCATCTTTGGCTGTTGCATGGACCTGTGCTGATGTAGGTTGTGATATATCCATGTGGTTTGAGCCTTTTATTTACAGAGGATTTGTTTGTCGTTTCTTCAGCAAAATCTTTAGGAGTGGTTTAGTATCATTACCTCTTGAAGCACTGATTAGTAGCACTGGATGCAACTGTGTTATAGGCAGAAGGGCAGGGAAGGGCGGAAGAGGTAGGACACAGATCAGCAGTGTGTCCTCATTTTGTCACTACACTTCAAGCACCCACCTTGTCACCTCATACCTGTGGAGTGGGAGCAGCTGCAACATAAACGCCTTGGTGCAATCTAACTCCACCATGTTTTGTTTGGGGAGAATCTTCCAACTCATCAGATTAGAGTAGTGGAAATATTTTAGTTTCTGCACAGTGTGGCTACATAGAATCATAGAATAGTTTGGGTTGGAAAGGACCTTAAGATCACCTAGTTCCAACCCCCTGCCACGGGCAGGGATGCCCCACACTAGACCATGTCACCCAAGGTTCTATCCAACCTGTCCTTGAACACTGCCAGAGATGCTTTTCCAGACAGGATAGGGAGACTGAAATTGATTAGAAACTAACAATAATTGGAAATGTTGAAACACCAAGATATTTGTAATTTTTATATTTGAAATTAATAACTAATTAAAGTTGAATAAGCAAGGGAAAAAACCTCAAACCCTATATAGTCTTTTCATCCATATATATGAAATTTGAAGCAATGTGTGCCAAGCCATATTCCAACCAAGTGCAAATATGAAAGCTAAGCTACACTGATTTTGGATGTAAGATTTATGACTGAAATAACAGTCTAGATGAATGGGACAATAATGCCGTGTTTAATACCTGTATGGCAATTTAAAACCTCTATAGCTGTGTTTCTATTTACAGTAAGGTTACACTTTCATAGTACATTATTTTTCTTTACGCTGCTCTTGATTCCCAAGCTAGATATATTTTCCTGAAATCTGTCTTGTTCCCTAGACACACGAAAATGTGATAACATTTTTAGCATCTCTGAAGGATTCAACAACTCAGTGCGGGCTTCAGTCTTGGAACTGACCTAAGAGGGAAAAAAATCCTTCACTCAGACTGAATACCAAGGTTAAAACCTAATCTTTTAAAAACTTCACATCAGTCGCTTAACCTCCCGATAAGGTTTCCAAACTGCTATTGGTGAGCTGATGACTTGCCTGTAGATTGAAGTGGATGTTAATGAAGACTTATGTTCAGTCTTCCTTTGAAAGCTTGATCCTGAATATTTATTTTTATAAGCATGCCAAAAGTAGACACATCTAACTAAATTTTTTTTCTATGATGTTGGGCCAGAAACTTGCTGAAAGGTTTGAAGGAAATCAGGGGAGATGCTTGAGATCTGAAATCAGAAGTGTGCATTTGACTTTCTGATCAGTCTCCTGGTTGAGGGAATTTGGGACTCTTCCCTTGTAAATAGCTGTAGTTAGAAACTGAGTTAGCTTATTCTTTATATTATTGTTCAAAGAAGACTAATACAGTCAACATCTTTGGGAAAGTTAATGTTTTTTCATTTTGCTTTTGCTTGACCCTTGCACAGCCATACATACCAATTTGAATTTAATTTTGTTCTTGGCTTGATATTCCCTCTTTGTGCTTTAAATTGAATATTTCTCTTCCCGTACATAAAGAAACTAATAAATGTCCACCATAGTGGACATTGTATATACCCTTAATGTATTGTTAAAAGAGTTTTTCTTCTCCTACCTATAGCAAATATGGTGGTTTTCTATTAATTAAAATATGTGTGAGGATGAATATATGATGAACAGGTTACTCAGGATTGAAAAAACATGAAAAATAAGTTTTCTATGACATTATTCCTTTGCACTGTTTATGTGGCAATCACAATTCAGGCCAATAAAACTTGCACTATTTGAGATGTTTTGTTGGGGCAGTTTCTTGATGTTCTTCCACCTCTTAAATCCAGAGGTCTCGTTACCACAGGTACGATCTTGAAAGTATCTAAGTGGCCTAATGCTCTTAATGCCACTGACAGCCACTGGGGCTTGCACACTGCTGAGATATTTTATTCTGAATCTTACTATTCACATGTCAGGAGAAAAGAACAACATTAAGCTAATAAGGTGAAAATGATGTAAAACGTCTTTCACAAACTGGCGTACCTTCAGTGTACAAGATCTGGGAACACTCTGTGTTTGAGGCTGCAGTGTGCATCCCACTGGGAAACAGTGATTTTTTTTTTTTTGCTTTAGACTGTGTTCAGATGTACAGACTTCAAACCTATTAGTGATGCTGGACTAAATGTGTCCAGATGGACCCTAACACTGGGGGAAATATTTTGCAGTCAGGGGAAATAAACAATTGTAACTCTGGGAGCTGTTTTTTTAAAAATGGCAAGAGTTTGGTGCAGTGCAGAGGTCTGGAGTGCTGCGAGGTAGCTGGGAGGGGATGCCAACAGCAGATCCACCCATTGACATGAGGGTTGTGACTCCCACGGAGAATAGGTTTACCAGGTCTTCATTGCTCCACAAGAGTGTTGTTGATAAAATGAATGTGTCTCTTTCTGAGTCTATTCAGGCTGGGAAAAATCTGCAGAGAAAGTTATAGATGATGCAAAGAGGAAGGTCCTGTAGCAAGTTTCAGCCTCTAACTTTGCCCCTGAGAACCATGGTATGGAGAGAAGCCAAGTATCTGTGTTGTAACCATTTCTGGCAATGAAGGAAATCTGCAAAGCCTGTCTAGCCTTTTGCCCAGACTTTCGTGTGGCTTAAGGACAGCTGTTCAAATGAGACCTTCTGATTGCTTCAAATCCTCACCAGGTCCTCTACGAAGTCACAGTTGTGACTGGAGATATTGAAGGTGGTGGTACTGATGCCAGCATTTTCATGACTGTCTTTGGATCTAATGGGAACACCGAGGAGATGCCACTGGAGAAAAATGGAGACAGGTACAGTAATTTCATATTTTTTGTTGGTTAGAAAGGGATTGATCAGTGTCAAGTCAAGGAGCACTTAGGGTTCTGATGGTGCTCCCACTGAAACACAAAGATAAACTCCCATTGACTTTGTAGATTCAGAACTGGGCCCCTTGCAAATGATCTTGTAATGTAGTTAGCAGAGCAGAGGAAACCAGGTAGTCAGGGAAAGCCATACTTTGTCATTTGTAGAAGTGTTTAACCTGTTCCTGAGTGGCTTCAGAGATAACCATTGTGGTGAACAAAAACATGAATTGTGAAGTCCTGCATTGGTTTCAAGAGGAACTGTGGACATTGCATGAAACCACAGTTGCAACTTCTGCAATGTGGATGTGTGATGACATCTGCCCAGATGTGGCCTTGCGGTGCAGAGACATGGAAATGGGCTGTGAGCTGCCCAGAGCACTGCATTATATGCTCTGATTTTAATGAAATGATGAAATCTCATGTTTTCTTCAGCAGAAACAGCTAACAAACACTGTATCCCTGGTCTGATATCAGCACTTCTATAAGCCAAAAAAAGGCCACATGCAACAAATCCATATCCTGATGCTTTCCTGTTCCTTTCTAGCACTTCTCTTGCTACAGAAAGCTTTGGCATGCTCAAGAATGAGCATGGCACTAACGATCTTTTGAAGACAGGCTTCATCAGGCTTAAATTTAATTAACTGGCTACTTCTGATTTATTCAGCAAAGCATCTAGAGAGTGTCAGGAGGGCTGGAGTATTTAGCCACAGGGTTTGACCTCAACTTGCTGAGGTGACGCTGGACTCTTCACCAGCTTCCTGGCGATGCAGCTTTGCATATCACGTGGGCTGAGTAATTGAAGATAAGGCTTCCTGCACAGAGGTGTTTGCTCAGGGCATGTTTTACTTGCAGCTGTCACAGCAGAAAGCCAAAGCTCTTGGCTCTGCTCCCCATCACAGAGAGACATCCAACATGTGGGGCAATGAACCTGGGTTACCAACGTGTCTGGCTATTGGTGACATCCCCCTTTCGACACCCCAGGGTATCCCAAACTGGTCTGTTTTCCACTATTTTAAGACCAACATTCAATTCTAATGGGAGGGGAAATGGACCACAGCTGTTTGTACTTAAAAATAAAGCAGACTTCACATCAGGGCAAGTCAACCAAAAATCTATAAAAGGGACTAAGGCATCTCCATCCCCTCAAAAGAGAGATTGCAGTTTTGATCCACCTTGATAGGCAATTGATATCCCTAAGTTATAGCCTATCAAAACCTATCATATTTGTCCATATGGGTGGGATGGATAATCTCTGATATAATGATGGGAAAATGTAATAAAGGAGAGCCATGCAGTTTATATGTTATTAGTTGCTTGTGTTGTCTTCCGCCAGTGGAAGTTCTTCAAAAGGTATTGGAAAATCACTGGGGCTGCATGAAGAAGGAGGATATGTAAACCACAGCTGTTAATATCCCAGGGTGCTGTGCTATTCTTTGAGCATGTCCTGGCACATCTCTGCTAACTGGAGATGCTCTGTATCATACCTGCAGCTATACACTAGCACCCTGTGCAGAGGACATGCATGTCCCCAGATACGCATACCACCTGTTTCCACACTGTTCCCGCCAGTCTTCATCCAGCTGTTAAGAAGACAGGTTTCCCCTGGAGACATTTCGCATGGAAATGTCTCCAGCCTTTGTGCCAGCAGTAAAGGATGGGTGAGAGCCACTGCAACCAAATGGTAAAAGGCATTTAATCTTTATTGGGGCCATTCAGTGCCAATTCACTCACAGCAGCTTAGTGCATTACGAAGAATTGTCTGTCTAACCTGCTGCAGATTTAAGGCAATTTTAGCTACATTACTGTTATTGCCAAGGCCTCTGGGCAATAGACATATTTCTAAGAGCAGGCATGGGTAGAAAAGCTTAATGAAACCCCTCAGATAAATGCTTCGGTGTCCTGGAAAAGGAATAGCAGCAGTCAGCTTGCCTGGTACTTCTTCCTTTCTCAAATTTTTTCAGGCTTATGTTCATGTTTATATAAATGAGGGATAGAAAAGAGCTCTTGGGTCACCTAGTTTGTCACTTTAGCAATTGCTTCCCTTTAGCACAATGACTTCTGGGTAGTAGCAGGTGAGTATCAGCCTTTCATACTGTAAACAAGCCATTTACTGAAGATAAATAATGGTTTGTTTTGCTAACAAAGAGATCAGAGTGAGAGACTTCTATGAAGCTTTGTAGGTAATAGTGATTGTAATGAAAACTGATCGTAGGAGCACGGGATAATTCAGGTTGGAAGAGTCACATCTTTTTCTTAAATAAATAAATTCTTTTCTTAAATAAAACCCAGTCCAGGCACAAAAGCACATTCACTTTCTCACACTGAAACAGGCTGTCTTGGTATCCAGTACCACAGAAAGACAAATAGAGAGATGGGAGTTTTTCAAAGAGCAAACTTATAACCCTTAATAACTGGAAATGGACTGGGACCAAAACACACCATCCAAGTGCCTCTGGGAGCGCAGGGAAAGCAATGCCTGGATGAAAACTGAGAGGCTGGAGCCAATCCCTATTGCTAACATCTGCAGCTATGCAGGCTTAGATAATGGTGTGAGGATAATCACATCCATGCTGTGGGGTGTAATGTGAGCAGAGGTTGGTAAATAAATGGGTTTTTTTATCCATGTCCTGGCACTGCAGAGCTATAGGAGGCTGAATGCCTTGCCAGGAATGAGATATCATCATTATGGATTTTCTATGCTATGGTAGTGCCCACAGTTTGTAGAGCTCTCTCCAAGCCTATTAGCAGACGCAGGTAACATAGTCACAAGGAGAATTTTGCTCGAAGGAGAAACCTCAGCTGCAGAGTGGCCATGGTGCTGCATGATAGACCCCCAGGATTTGGCTTCCTTCCACTTAGCAAGGGTTCTATTTCCATCTCCAACCCCACAGCAGGTGTAGCAAAGTGGTTTTGGGGGAAAACCTAGAAGACACACTTGCTCCGAACTGAGAATATTGAGCCTGAGGCAGCACTTTTGCTGGAGCAAGGCTTTCTTCCTAGCACCATAGATGCTAAGAGAGAGGTAAACTGGCTGCAATTCTAGCCAGTGTAATATCTTCTTCAGGAAGCATATGTTAGCTATTTTTCCCCTTTTCCTACTTTCTGCTGATTGCTATGGATGAGCAGCAATTCCTACACATCCTTGTGCCTATATACAGCAGCCAAGCATAGGGTAAGATCTTTCATATAATGTACACAAATCCACCCTGGTTCTTAATGAAGATGGAGCTAGTTTGCAAATCCAAATGCCCCAAATTCATGAGGGGAGTGCAGGACAGTCGGGTTTGGCTCCTTTCTAACACAGCTTGCCTGAGCTTACTAAACTTAGGCGCTGAGCTCTGACTTGCAATGAGGTTGCTGTATTTAGCTAAGCTGCAGCAACTGTCTGTCTCCACGGTGAATGCAAAGTTATGTATGTGCTACATCTTAGCAGAAGAAGATTACACAAAGTTGCTTTGCCTTCTAGTTGGGATGGGCTAAGGACATGGCCAGATGTCAGGAGGAAGGCGATGTGCAGAAACCTGACTATGAGTCTCTATTATTCTGAGTACAAACGGAGTGATAATGTCTTCTATAGGCTGCCTGGAATGACTCCAGGTGCCTTGTACGGGCTTGATTTTCCAGGGGAGGAGGAATCCCTGTCAAATCTGCACTGAGGCAGTCTTGCCAAAAACACAGTAGCTGATGATTGCAGGACAGGAAAGCTCAAGTGCAATGAAGTGCTCTTGTAAACTTTTAATTTGAGGCTGTTGGCAAGGTGTGAATTGCAGCACGGACAGTGGATCAAGATGTAACGATGCTGTAAAGCAGCAGGAAACTTCCTCGGTCTTTCAATCCCCCCAGGTTTGAGCGAGGCCAAGAAGACAGTTTCATTATGGAGATTGCCGACATCGCACCCCTCAGGAAGATGAGGATCCGGACAGATGGGAAGGGGACTCGCCCGCACTGGTACCTGGAAAGGGTAATGCGCTTCACATCACACATTGCTTTGCAACCTGCTTGTGTTAAAGCCTTTCAGCCCTTGAGAAAGAGGAGAAAGGCAGCGAATGACTCACTTGTATTCATTCCCAGCATTTGGTTTCTTATGGGTTTTTCCTGAAGGAGTTGAGACAAAAAGGAACAGGGGCAAAAGCAGAGCTGTGAAGCTTTGCCACAGTCTCTGCTGCTAGATAGCACTCTCCCTCTCTGCAAAAGAGCCTTGGCCTACCACCAGGGCACCTGCAATATTGTATGGCCCCTGGGATGTACCCTCAGCTCCTGCAGACCCCTACCATGCTCTGCCCTCGCAGGAGAGTGGATGTCCCTCTGCCAGGCAGACACAGCTATTATGGGGCCTGTTTGATGGAATATTTCCAAGAAATCCATCCTTTGAGGTGAAACATCCCACCTCTCCCCTTTCTTTCTCCCTCTTGTACACAGGCAGATTTATTTCTTTTCTTGTTCATATAAGTAAGTTGTCATTTTCTTCCTTAGTTTTGAATAGAGCATTCAAAATGACTCCCACTGCGTCTGTTGACTGTGTTTTTCTCTAGTGTCCTATCTTGCACAAAAGCACAGTGCTTGCTTTTATCTTCTTTACCAAATCACCATCTTGTAAAGATCACTTATATATGGGAACGTCTTGACTTTTTATGCGAATAGTTTAAGACTCAATAGCTTAACCCATGTTCAGAAAGACTAGTGCATGTTTTTTTTATTGGGTCCTTTATCCTTTTTGACTAGGCTGAAGCTGTCCTTCTTTTCCCCATAAATAATGTGTTTCTAAAAGGTAGCCACCAGTTTCCAGTGAAATGATGAACTGCTTTTCACCTCCGTGAGCATGGGCTAAAAAGCATTCCTGTCATGTAGTACATTTTTCACATGAACATTGCCACTTCTAAGTTTTTTATCAGTTACTCTTGTACAGCTTTCCAAAGCATAAGACCTCCAGCATATATTTTCTGAATAGATGCCACAGACATGATTTTTCTCTATGTGCCTCAGGAATAACTCAATCTGTTCTCTGATTTGATTCAGTCATCTTCGTCAAACTCCCTTTGTCACTCCCCAAAACTTTCCCATGAGTTTTATAAATCATATTCTTAGAAAATGAAATAAAATAAAGCTTATTCATCCAGATACATGCAGTCATGAATTGGCAGTACCTCAAAAGCAAGGGATGGCAGCATCTTTAGTGGCAGGTAACATCTTCCCATTGCCAGTTCTGTCCAGCTTTCCAACACCTGAGCCTGATGGACTGTCACCCAAAGCAAGGCTTTCCCAAGGAAGTGGGCAAGAACGAGTTCTCATTTGGACTTGTCAGATGGTCTTATAACTCTCTTACAGCTCTACAGAAGCAACAGGCAGGCCAAGCACCCATATTTTAGGAAGTTTTGAAAATTGTACCCATGGTTTCTATTTTTCTTCACGAAAGAGAGCATGGAGCATCTTCTAACCCCAGCAATACATAGACAACTTTATTCATTAGTTTTCTTTCCTATCTTCCCTGCAAAGGCAAACGTAACATTGACATTCCCAGGCAGGGAGAGAAGACAGGAGTGCTCTGGAAGAGGGGAGGAAGGATTTGTGTTCTCCAATTTGTATTCCATCCTTGAAAACTTACGTAGCCTGGTGTGACATGAAAACTGATCTGAGCCCATTTCCATTTCTGTCAAAAGTGCATATTAAAACTGCATAATGAAATACTTGTGGGGGTAGTGCTAAACTCTCAGACAGATGGTTCACAGTTAGTGCTAACTAGCACAGTGAAATGAGAAGCTAGATTAAGCCATCAACCCTGTAATTAACCATTTGTTGCTCCATTTATGTATAGGATAGTCTCAGTTTTCTTGTTCTATTAAAACAACAATAAATGATCTTTTTAATCCTCTTTGGTCTTTTTGTAAGTCATGACTATCACTGGTCATAATTTATACTGCTTTTAGTTTACCAGAAATAGAAATGCATAAATACAAATTAAAATGCATGAATAAGTGATATTGTACACAGGCAAAAGATTCAATGTACAAGCAGGAAAGTAGTCATCACTTTTTTTCTGTCTAGATAAAATTCATTGAAATTTCATTCAGAATCTCTGCAAAGTAATGAACATAGCGCCAAAGATTCAAACTGCACCAATAGTAGCAATAAGTTTTAAATGCTGATACTTAATCTCTAGAGGGAACAAAATTTGGTTAGTGATGTGTTGGGCCAGAATGAATTTTATTGATTACTGCTATGCACAGACATGACAAAAACTGTCCAAAGCCGAGCAACACATTCTGATCTCACCACTGCTGAGAGAGACATAGAGTTTGAATATTTTCCTCTGATCTAATGCTGAATTGCATGTTCTTCCGTATCAAGCTACTGTGACACTGCTCTTTGTTTTGAAAAAACAGAGAATAGAATCACAGAGTTATAGAACCACAGACTGGTTTGGGTTGGAAGGGACCTTAAAGCTCATCCAGTTCCAATCCCCTGCCACAGGCAGGGACACCTTCCACTAGGGCAGATTGCTCCAAGACCCTGCGTCCAACCTGGCCTTGAACCCTGCCAGGGATGGGGCAGCCACAGCTTCTCTGGGCACCCTGTGCCAGCACCTCACCACACTCTTAGTAAAAAAACATTGTGACTTCTAATTAGGAAACTCATCTAAATGAATGCTATGGAAACCTCTTCCTGGGATAGCCAATTCCTCAGTCCACATGATGATTTCACCTGCTGCCCAGTGTGTTAGATACACAGTTGAAAAGCCAGCAGTAAGAAGGGGTGAAAGCTGTCTGGGTGAAATAACAGGAATTGTGAAACTGTTCAGTTCTGCAGGGTTGCTTCTCTTGGAATTTTAATGTTACTTTGTGCTGTCAAAGCCAGACAGATAAGAAGCTGCCTTAATGAAGCACTAATTGCATTGCATTCAAACGTCACAAATAATCCTGAATGTTGGACTCAGTTTTTATTCAGTTCTTTTTCCTTTATAATAAAGGAGATCAAGAGAATTTGAGACAAATCATTATATAGCTGAAGCTTACTGTTATTCTTTACAACAGAGCAAAGTCTTTGTTTTACAGTCAGAAGATCTTCTTTTCAAGCAAAGACTAATGACACGCAACAGAACCATAAAAACCTGTGGATGAGTCTTTAAAGACAAATTCCAGGACCTATGTATTTTGGTGTTAATGGGGTATGAGTGCCTGCAGCTGGTGGAAAGCTGAGTAGAGGTAAATCAAATAACCAGGTATGTCAAACCTTTCAGTTACAGCATACAGCGCACAATTAATTTCAAGTTGCTGTTTTAAAGTTCCTTTCAGCTATGACATTTGATCAGCTACAAAGCAAATTATCAACATTTTATTAATACACACTGTTCACTCTTTCTTTTCATTGTTTATAGGTGTTCTACAGCACAGTTAGAATGCATAGTTAGTGATAGAGTTTGAGTTTAAAAGCACACAGGATGCCCACAGCAAGTTCCAGGTATCCTGAAAAATAGTTTAGATGCAATGTAAAGTAGACGTCTCGTTTCCAAATGGTGGCTAATTTTCCTGAGGGGAACAGACAGAAATAAAAACAGTCTTGGCTCATCTCCCTGAGATGACTTACTTGACCGTAATGATCAAAATGAAAATCCCTCATCATCCTCTGTGTGTGCAACTCCCACAATCATCTCCTGGTAGGATGAGATTAATTTTGTGCAAGTTTAGTTGTTGAAAAAGCTACATTCATCTTTAATCATAGAATCATAGAATGGTTTGTGTTGGAATGGACCTCAAAGCTCACCCAGTTCCAACCCCTGCCACGGGCAGGGACACCTTCCACTAGAGCAGGTGGCTCCAAGCCCCTGTGTCCAACCTGGCCTTGAACACTGCCAGGGATGGGGCAGCCACAGCTTCTCTGGGCACCCTGTGCCAGCGCCTCAGCACCCACACAGGGAAGAGCTTCTGCCTAAGAGCTCATCTCAGTCTCCCCTCTGGCAGGTTCAAGCCATTGCCCTTGTCCTGTCCCTACAGGCCCTTGTCCAAAGCCCCTTCCCAACTTTCTTGTAGCCCTTTTAGGCATTAGGAGCTGCTCTAAGGTGTCCCCTTGAGGAGCCTTCTCTTTTCCAGCTGCCCCAGCCCAGCTCTCTCAGCCTGGCTCCAGAGCAGAGCTGCTCCAGCCCTCGCAGCATCTTTGTGGCCTCCTCTGGACTCTCTAAAAAGTCCTCTTCTTCTATCAGTTTTCAGAACTCTACCAGAGTTATTTCACCTCTTGTAACAGTTTATCTAGGCTTCTGCATTCAGCAGTGAGATTTGTGAGGGGAGAGATGCCTTGAATGGCTGTTTACCTGTCCTCAGCTTGGGTGGGATATGCTGTGGTGCTTCCCTGGTGATACCCATCTCCAAGCACAGACCTTAGGCAGGGCTGACTTGATGAGCTCGGTCTTCATGCAGAGTGTTCAGGCAGTTCATTCTAGGTAAGGTAGGCAACATACCCACGCTATGACTGAGCAATCAGACTGCACAGCCTTCCTGCTACCTCCACATCCCTTGCTGTGATCTCCCTTGAGCAAATGATGCTCGTAAAAATGTCTCTCTTTCTCCTGTCTGCTCCTCCCCAGAGCAGCAACCTACAACGAGATATCAGAGGCTGCTTGCTCTGCCTGTGCTAACTGCTTACATGAAGCTGCATACAGATGAAATCACCTACCCTGCTCAGGGGCTGGGAATGGAAAGAGAGGGCATTCTGCTCCAGCAGTTTTAGTAGCCAGACAGTTTTTCCCAGACAGCATCTGGAGTGCTGGGCATGGGCTGGTTATTTGTCTGTGAGTACACTCCAGCTGGCAACTCTAATCTGCTTCTACCCCCTGCTGCTTCTCTGACATTTCCCTGCAGGCTTTGCTCAGGACATTCTGCTGCTAACAGTGCTGCTGTCAATCCTGAGCAGGGCAGAGATAGAGCTGGCTGAACCTTTCCCAACACAGACTTTATGCACCAAGGTGGAAAAAAGGCATTTTTGGTCAACCTGACCTTATTAGCTATTGAAATTTGCAAATTTTAGCAAAAGAAAAGTTCCTAGGTTGGACTACTAGGAGGATGTAGACACCATTCACACATCCAAGGGGTAATGGGTTCAAACTTAAACAGGGGAAGTTCAGGTTAGATAGAAGGAAGAAGTTCTTCCCTGTGAGGGTGCTGAGGCACTGGCACAGGGTGCCCAGAGAAGCTGTGGCTGCCCCATCCCTGGCAGTGTTCAAGGCCGGGTTGGACACAGGGTCTTGGAGAAACCTGTTTTAGTGGAAGGTGTCCCTGCCCATGGCAGGGGGCTGGAACTGGATGATCTTAAGGTCCTTTCCAACCCTAACTATTCTACAGTTCTATGATCCTTGATAGAGGAGGCTTCCTTCTGGTCTGTGCCCCAGCAGACAAGGCACCAGCTGGGGTGGTGGAAACCTGATTTCCACTTGGCTCAAAGCAAAGATTTGATTCAGTGTCTCTTGACGCATAGAGCAGTTTTCTGACCACAAAGTCATAGTATCTCCTGCTGTGAATAAGCAGCTTTTTAAAAAAGTGGAACAGCTTCAACAGCCCAAAATATCCTGTACTTCTGGGATAGCAGATCCCCATATAGCATCAGGCAGAGAGAAAACCCCAGATGAGTGTCCTACCCATAGAACTGTACAATGCACAAAGAGCACAGCTACAGCTTCAGCTTCAGTGTAGCTACTGCCTTCTTTAAAATATCTTTTTTATGATCTGGAGCAATGTTCTACTTTTGAACTGCTAAAGGCTCCTGCAAAGCTTGGTTGGGGTCAGCGGAAGGCCATTGAATGGGACACATGCAGTTTCAGGACAGAATTTGAGCACTTTTTATCTCAAGATAAGTTTTACAAGTTTTTTCGGCTGATGAACGAGAGTGCAGCAGGAGGTCACTAAGATAGTCAAGGGGCTGAAGCATATGGCTTACTAAGAAAGGCTGAGGTAAATAGAGTTTTTGAGCCTTGAGAAGAAAGGCTGAGAGGGAATCTAATTGCAATCTTCTGCTACTTAAAGGGAGGTTACAGAGAGCAACAGTCCAGTCTCTTCTCAGAGGTGAACAGAGAAAAGGCATGAAGCGATGGACACAAGTAGCAACAAGGAAAATCCTGATTGAATATAAGGAAAATAGTCTTCCCAATGAAAGTGGTGCAGCCCTGAGATAGGGACCCACAAGGAATCTCGACCCTTGAAAATTTTCAAAACCCATTTGGACACAGACTTGCAGTTAGCCATGCTGGGAGCAGGAGGTGTGACAAGACACCTCCAGGTATCCTTTTTAACCTGACAACTTCCAGAGATGGACTTTGGCCAAAGGCTTGAAAAGACAGGACAAGGGGAATGGCTTTAACCTGCCAGAGGGGAGATCGAGATGAGCTCTGAGGCAGAAGCTCTTCCCTGTGAGGGTGGTGAGGCTCTGGCACAGGGTGCCCAGAGAAGCTGTGGCTGCCCCATCCCTGGCAGTGTTCAAGGCCAGGTTGGACGCAGGGGCTTGGAGCAAGCTGGTCTAGTGGAAGGTGCCCCTGTCCATGGCAGGGGGTTGGAACTGGATGAGCCTTAAACTACCTTTCAACACAAACCGTTCTGTGATTCTATGACATGACTCCATGATTCATTTTTCTCTAATATGTCACACTTCTCTGACGTGTCTGGGCTTGTGTTTCCATGGCCTTTGCAGAGGTATGCCTTGCAAGACACTGTTTGCTGATGTACTGCTACACCCAGGTGTGGTTTCTGTTTGTGTTAGATGGTAACACAGATGGTAGTTTTCAGCTCTGTCTCCTCCCTTACCTTCAACTCTCGCAGGTTAGCGAGAATTTACTACCAGTAAGTAAGTGTAATGCCTTTCTCACAATGGACTGATGCTCCACTGAGCTCTGAACAGAACACATAAAGGTGAGATGCTTATTAGGCGTTTGTTGGAGTACCTCACTGACTTGTTCTAAGGTTCCTATTCTGTTCTTATCACCACAGCATCTGAGCTCCTTCCCGTGACACATTAGACAGTGTGACTAATATCTGTTGCATGCTGTTTGTTCTGTCACCTATCCCCAGGGGGAGGAGTGTGTGAAGCATTAACTTTTGCTGCCCTAATTTTATCTTATCTTGTGCATTGCTTTAATTTGTCTCAGGTTGGTTTGTGTATTTCTACAATGATTGCCCTGTGTTTGCACAGAGAAGGCAGGTGAAAGCAAGATACTGTGTACCTAAGGAGAGATAGTGTGGTTTTTAATAACTCTCTGTTACTTCTTTGGAGTAAATTCCATACTGACTTACACCAGAGAAGAAAATTTCTTCCTATGCTTTACCCCATGCATGAAAAGGTCCAATATTATGAAGAGCATTTCCCAGGATAAGTCACCACAGTAAATATTGTCCATAGGAAAGAGCTGCTTTCTTCCCAGAAAAGCTCAGTAGAGGTTCTGAAGCTATGACCAAGCTCTACCCATGTTCCAACCACACTGTATACTTTATAAGTTTGATCTTTGTTCTTACTCAAATGGTAGCTACAGTTTAGCTGTAGTTTTTTGACCTTGTTTTGCCTCTTTGCAGCTCATCCTGAAGAACCTGACTAACCAAGAAGTGGCCACCTTTACCTATGGTGAATGGCTGTCAAAGCTGAAAAATGCCAGGGGAAGTCTTGTGTGTGAGATGCCTGCTGTCATAAATGATGAGCAGATGATGGAGGACACAACATACACTCTTCAGGTTAAAACCAGTGACATTGGAGGTACATTCATGGTGTACATTTTATGACTTTCCTAGTAAGAAGTTTAGGTTTTAGCAATAGGAAAAAAATCCCCTGCTTGTAATTTGGAATTATGTTTAAAAAAAGCATAATTTAGCCCTAGTATGCTGGAACACTGCCATTTTGACTGGATGTTCATCATGACAGTGTTACTTTGTGGGATTCAGCCTCATCTAAGCTCTGAGCATAAAACATTTAGACACAAGGCCTAGATGTGGCTTCTCAGCACTTCCTCTGAAGATGCCTTAAAGAAGCTATTGCCAGACCATGTTGCAGTGGTCAGGAGCCCCCTTTTTCTTTTTGGTCAGGTCATTCACATAGGAAGAAAAGAAAAGGCTGTGGTCAAAGCTGGTGGGCTCCAGGTTTTCAATCAGTACTGTCTGCTTTGCCCAAAGGAGAAAGCAATAATTCACCCTCCTTTTCAAAATGTTTCAAGACTATTTATCTCAGGCTGAGAAAAACCATCCCTAAAAGCATACCAGATAGAAGAGGTAGAACAGAGCATAAAGAAAGCTGCAGAGCTTCCAGAGCCAAGAAATGGTATTTCTATGTCATTTCCTGGGATCACTGCCTCTTTTCATGAGAACTTCTGTCAGGGCTACTGAATAAAAGCTGCAACTATGTGCAAGCTCCCTCGTGCCAAAATGGGGCAAGCTAGACATTATCTTGTGGACACCTTATTTGAAAGGCTGATCCTTAAAGGGGATTCTGCCACACTTGTGCACATAATCACCTCTTGACCTCTACCTTTTTATTTTATTTATA